TCTCTCTCTCTCTCTCCCTCTCACTCTATCTGAACAAAATATCGAAAAATGTCCTCGGGTGAGGATAAAAAAAAAAAAAAAAAAAAAAAAGAGGACATACTTGTATGATTCCATTTATGTGAAGTTCACTGACAAGCCACTCTAATCTATGTTAACATGTTGGGACAGGGACCAACTGGTGTGGATCATCAGGGAGGGAAGACACTGACCAAAAAGGGCTCGGGAACTTGAAGTGATGAAAATGTTGTATTTCTTTATCATGGGGCAACAGGGGCAAGGGGTTACTTCTGTCAAAACTCATTGATCATGTAAAATGGTTGCATTATTGAATGTGAATTTTACCTCATTAAAGCTGATTTATTCTTTACAAAAACAAAAATAAAATAGACAAGATGGAACCAAGGTGATAGAAACCTGAGATTGCCTTGGGGTGTGGGTAACTAACTGAAAAGGGGCAAGACGGAGACCCCAGGGGCTGAGGGTGCTCTATACTTGGGTCACAGGAGTGTAAACATTCATGGTTCTGTACGGTAAAAATGGATGTATGTGTCCTGGCCGGTTTAGCTCAGCAGTTAGAGCGTTGGCCTGAGATCCAGAGAGACCCGGGTTCGGTTCCTGCTAAGGGCACGTATCTCGGTTGCAGTTTGTACCTGGCCCTGGTTGTGTCATGAGGGAGGCAGTCGCTTGATGTGTCCCTTTCACGTCAATGTTTCTCTCTCTCTCTCTCTCTCTCTCTCTCTCTCTCTCTCTCTCTCTCTCTCCCTCCCTCCTACTCTATCTGAACAAAAATGGAAAAGTTTCCTCGGGTCAAGATAAAAAAGAAAGAAAAAAGGGTGTATGTTGCTGTTTGTAAATTACACTTAAATTCAAAAGAAAGATCCAGAGGCTCAAAGCAAATAATTTGCCAAAGGCTCCATCAGGAGAATATCAGAGCTGTCCTACCCTGGAGTGCACCACCACCTCCAGGCCTCATATTGCCTCCCTCCAAAGCCAGGTGCTGGGTTGTAAGCATGCCAGGCAAGATCCCTGCCCTCATGTTCCAGAATATTCTGGAAAGCCCTGGCTGGTTTGGTTCAGTGGTTAGAGTGTCAGCCCACGGACCAAAGAGTCATGGGTTTGATTCCTGGTCAAGGGCATGTACTTGGGTTTTGGGTTTGCTCCCCTGCCCTGGTTGGGATGCATTTAGGAGACAACCAATCGATGTGCCTCTCACATTGATGTTTTTCTCTCTCTCTTCCCCACCCCTCCCTTCAACTCTCTCTAAAAAAAAATCAAGCCCTGGCCGGTTTGGCTCAATGGTTGGAGCATCAGCCTGCGGACCAGAGTCCCGGGTTCAGTTCCGGCTAGGCCCTAGCGGCTAGGGGCATGTACCAAAAATAAATAAATAAATAAACTAATTAATTAATTGAAAATCAATATAAAAAATATCCTCATGTGGGGATTAACAGAATATTCTGGAATGTATATTCTAATGGGAAAGACAAACCTGAGACATACAAACCAATCAATGACCAAGGCCTTTTCTGATGGTGATAATTTCCATAAAGGCAATGGGTTGAGAATGATTGAGCGGGGAAGGACTGCTTTAGCCATAGGTTAGGGACAGCCTCTTTTAGGATGTGATGTCCAGCTTTAATAAAAGCAGGGGACAACCCTGGTCGGTTTGGCTCAGCGGTTAGAATATTGGCCCTCCTTTGATTCTAGTCAAGGGCATGTACCTGGGTTGCAGGTTCGATCCCCAGCCCTGGTCAGGGTGGTGCAGGAGGCAACCAGTTGGTGTGTCTCTTTCATATCAATCTCCACCCCTCCTTCCCTCCCTTCCACTCTTTCTAGAAATCAATGGAAAAATATCCTCGGGAGAGGATTAACAAAAACAAACAAACAAACAAACAATAATAAAATAGCCCTGGCCAGTTTGGCTCAGTGGTTAGAGTGTTGGCCCACAGACCAGAGAGTCCCGGGTTTGGTTCCCACTAAGGGCATGTACCTCGGTTGCAATTTGTCCCCCCCTTCCCCGGTTGGGGTCATGTGGGTGGCAACCAGTCGATGTGTCTCTCTCACATTGATGTTTCTCTCCCTCTCTCCTTCCCACTCTGAGGATAAATGCAAAAAAAAAATGTCCTTGGGTGAGGAAAAAAAGTAATAATAATAATAATAAATTTTTTAATTAAAAAATAAAAGCAGGGGACAGAATATTCTTTGAAGTTCCAGGACATTCCAGAACATTTTTTTGTGGAAGGGCCCAGAACGTTCCAGAACATTTCAGGTGGAAGTAATGTGTAGGCCCCCAACTTGGTGCCAGAAAAAGCCTGGGAGACAGAGACAAGAAACCACATTGGCTGGGGTGACATGGGCAAGGTTTGGAGCAAGGAGGGGGAGTGTCGACAAAGATGTATTGAGAGCAGCCTCCTGGAGTGTGGGGCACAGCTGTGACTGAGACTGCTCACGCGTCACATCTGGCAGAGGAAACATTTATTAAACCAATCATCACACAAGCAAAGAAGCAATAACATAATTGTCAACATGATAGAGGCTTGAGTTGGGGCATAATGATTTAGGTGGGCCAGGCTGAGCCAGGAGGGCAGGAAGGGACATTCAGACTGAAGGGCTGGCTGGGAAGAAAGCAGAGACTTCCAGGCAGAGGGAATAGCCTGTGTGGGGACCTTGAGGAGGGAGAGTGTCAGGAGCCTCTCAGAATCTGGCAGGACTGGGTGTGAACTGGGTGGTGGGCAGAGTTACATGACACAGAAACCCTGGAGGCTTCAGCTTCTCCATTGGGTTGATGCCTGGCACTGAGGCAGGGGCCTAGCCTGCACCCCTCCCCACCAACACACACACAGAAGGGAAAGACAGGAGTCCCCATTCTTCCCTCCAAGCACTGAGGGAGTATTACAGGGACACCTCAATGCCTCCCTCCCTTCCTCAGCAGATAAAATCCCAGGGCCCAGAACTCAGGCCTGTTGCCAGGAAAATAGGACAGCCAGTTGTCATGGCAACCCTTTGCTATGAGGGCACATGGGCACTCCTGCTTCTTGCCATGATGCTAGCCACAACCTACCATCCACCAGGTCTGCATCAGGTGCAGGAGGAAGTGGAAGGAGGGCTAAGATGCCTGGAAGACCTGGGAGAACAGAAAATAAAACATAGGCTTAGAGTGCTGTGTTGAGTCAGGGCTCCTCAACAAGATCACCTCTGCTGGCCCTCACCCCTGAAAGAAACCCCAGATGGAAGCAAAGGCCCTCTCTCTCCTGTGACTCCAGAAGCCTTTTTCATGGCACTCAGGCCCCTCCCCCGTGAAGCCCTCAGAAGGATAGGTGATGTGAGCAAGGATTACTTTTCTTAGAATACACACACACACTTCCAACACACACGCGTGCACTTGGGACACTCTCCCTCCTCTCTATATTCTATCTACCCCTCAAAGCCCAAGTTAGCTGCCACCTCTTTTAGGCAACCATCACTCATTACTTTCTTGGAAGGGACTCCTCTCCCCTCTCCACATACCCAGAGAACTCATGGTTTCTACCCTCACCACCTAGCATTATTCATTTCACATCTATGAGGCATTCACTCTTGGCGCAGCCCTGGGCTGGTCATTGGGACTTTAAGAATTAATACATTTGCCTGGCTGATGTGGTTTAGTCGACTGAGTGTCCTCCCATGGACTGACAGGTTCCAGTTCAGTTCCCAGTCAGGGCACATACCTGGGTTGCAGGTTTGATCCCCAGTTGCGGGCGTGCAGGAGGCAGCTGATCAGTGTTTCTTACATCGATGTTTCTATCTCTCTGTCCCCTCCTCTCTCTTTTAAAAAGCAAAGCAATGAAGAATGTCTGGCCAGTGTGGCACAGCGGTTGTCGACCCATGCATCAAGAGGTCACCAGTTCAATTCCCAGTCAGGGCACACATGCCCAGGTTGTGGGCCCGATCCTCAGTGGGGAGCATGCAGGAGGCGGCCAATCAATGTTCTCTCTCATCGATGTTTCTAGCTCTCCCTCTTCCTTCCTCTCTCTCTAAAAAATCAATAAAGAAAAAAATTTTTTTTCAATACACTAGCCCTGGCTGGTTTGGCTTAGCGGTTGGAGCGTCGGCCTGTGGTCCAGAGAGACCCAGGTTCAGTTCCCGCTAAGGGCACGTACCTCGGTTGCAGTTTGTCCCCGGCCCTGGTTGGGTCATGTGGGTGGCAACCACTCGATGTGTCCCTTTCATGTCGATGTTTCTCTCTCTCCCCCCTCCCACTCTATCTGAACAAAAAATGGAAAAATGTCCTCGGATGAGGATAAAAAAAAAAAATACAGTTCTTCAGTCACCTAGCTACATTGCAAGGGCTCTGTAACACTATGTGGCTGGGGGTGATGCAGGCAGAACATTTCTGTCATTGCAGAAAGTTCTGCTGGGCAAGGCTGGCATACCTCCACTTGTCATCTCTGTCCAGGTCTCATTTCCTGGCAACATTCCCAGGGGTGACCCTGAAACCACAAACCAGGCCCAGAATGACACATGGGAGCCTAAATTGCCTTTATGTTGAATTTTGATGCTCATGGTATCAGGGAGGTCCTGGCAGCAGCAGTAGTTACTAAGAATGGAGGATTCAGGAGTGTTGTAATGAAGGGAGCCTTTGCAAAAGTGTGGGCAAGGTTGGGTAAATGACATAGGTGGTGCAGTGTGCAGGACAAGCAGCAGTGGGGAGCTGTTACCATGACCAGACTGAAGGCTCACTTGGTGGAGTTATGGCCTTGGGTTGGTGGATGCAGGGAGAGACATGCGGAAAGAAACACCAACTTCTCACTCCTATTTCTTCCCACCACTATGGCTGACTCTAGTGGAAGGCAGAGAGCCCAAGTGGATCAACCTCCAGGGGCACACAAGCCACAGGGAGTTCCCAGGGCTTCCCCCAACTCAGAAAGAGCCTGGTGGGCAGAGGTCATGGCCAAGCTCAGGCCACTCTTCCAAGACAAACAGAAGCAGGCTTGGTCCAAGATATCTTTTATGTACATGGTTTATTTCTCCTGATCCCTATGAGGCTGCAAATCCAGCCTCAGCCACCCATTCTCCCAGCATGGAGCTGCCCACAGCCTCCTCCCAAGAGGGCCTCCTCCCATGGGGCTGGATCTCTGGAGATGAGGTGGGGAAAAGGTGGGGAGCCCTAGCACAAGACAGTTTGTTCCCCCGAGGCCTCAGAATCTCACCCCATACTGGGGAGAAAGGAGGAAGGAGAAAGGTAGCACAGAACTTGGGTTCAAATAGTCATGAAGCTACACAATAAAAAACAAGAAGTGGCATGCCCCAGCAAAAGGAGGCCCAAGGAGGAACAAAGACCAGATCCCACCCACCCCCAAGTGGTGGCATTGTGACCCCAGGACTTAGAGGGGTGAGGAATGGGACCAGGGAGAGAGGACTTGGGGGTGCAGAAGCCCAACCCTGGCCTGGACCCCTAGGCACAGGGCAATGAAGACAGAGAAGCCCCTGCCTCTTGCAGTGTGTGGATCAAGGGAGGCCTACAGCTTGGTCAGGTCCAGCTTCAGCTTGTAGGGTGGGGGACTGTTCCCAAAGGCGTGCGAAGGGGGAGGATACAGAGGCCAGTCTGGCTCTACCATGAAGCCCTTGTGTTGTTCCAAAGTCAGAGGCTGTAAAGAAGAAGGAAGAAGGGCATGCTACTGAGCCTCACCCTGCAAGGCTCCTTCCCAGCCCTGATCTCAGGTCACTTTGACTATAGGCAGGGGTGTGTTCTTCCCTCCATTTCACAAGTGAGTGAAGAAATTTGCCTGACATCATACAGGGGGCAAGTCAGGGGGCCCTGCCTCCATGGAGAAGAGGTAGCCCCACACAGAACTAGGGAGCAGCTCTCCCTCACCCCTCCTTCAGGCCCGCCCACTGGCCCCACCCACCTGGAACTTGAGGTGCTGGCCAGGAGCAGTCACCAGGGTAGAGCAGCTGAGCCACAGCATCACCAGCACAGAGAGGAAGAGGCAGCAGGCCAGGATCCAGCGAGGAAGCCCCGAGCGCCTGCTCACCATGGCAGGTAAACTCAGTGACTCTAGTGGGGTCTGGGAACTGTCCCCTCCTGCCCCACCCCTAGGGTCCTGCCACCCACCGGGACATGCAACTGAGGAAGTCATTGTCCTGCAGCTCATCAGGCTCCACCTTGGCCTTACTGCTGGTCTTGACTCGGATCTTGGCCTTCCTCACCTTGTCCAAGGGGCCTAAAGGGTTTGAGAGACAGGTTGTTCTTCAGTGGCTGCCAGGCCTTCCCCCTAGAGGCCACAGCAGCCATTGAGAGGAGAAAGGAGGCCAGGACCTGAGGTAATTGGTCATGGAATCCTGGAACAGAACCCTGGGAGATGAACCACAAAACTCTGGGAGACAGGCCATGAAACCCTAGGAAAAAGACCAGGAAACCCTGGGAGATGGACAATGGAACCCTAGGAGACAGACCATGGAACTCCAGGAGTTGAGATAGAAATCAGTCCTAGAGGGTTCATTTGCCAGAAGGACTCCTTATGGCAGTGGAGCTACCCAAGGAAAGAACACTGGTCCAGCCTCAGACCTTACCTACATGCACCTCCAAGGCCTCAGGATGGGATCCTCGCCAGGTCACCTTCACTCGCTGCAGACGGGCCCTCTCATGCCCTACACTCTCTACCATGGGTTGGGTCTGGACCAAGAACAAGAGAGCACAGAGAAGGCCTTTAGAAAGGCACTACCTTCGTTCTTGGTAGCACCTCCCTGTGCTCCACATGGGCTAACTGTCCCATGCCCAGCTGGTACCTAGTCCCATTGGTTGTAGAAACAACAGTTTTCCATGAGACTATGATGTCAGGGATGTTGTTCCCTGCTATTGTGGGCCTCCAATTTGTCTCGAATCCAGCCTTCAGCTCCTGAAGAACATGATCCAGGTCAAGCTAATAGAATCACAGGGATTGGCTGAGAGGTGGTCACATAATCAGAATAAATCCCTGCATGGTTAAAACTCCAGAGAAGTTGTAATTTAGAGCCTTAAGTATCCATCCTGCTATCAGGAGTAAAGTGCTTGCCTGGGAATAAAGCCACCATAAAGGAAAGCAGAATGAAGTGGTAAAGTGAGACCCTGAACCCCTGGATCCAGCTGTGCCTGAAGCATCAACTATAGACTTTGCCTCTCATGAGCCAAGAACAAATGTATTCCACCTTCTTACCCTAAGCACCCACCCATCACTTTGGTGTGGTTCCTGCCAGATCTCTCACCTGGAACACCACCACTTTCCCATTGTCAGTCTGTAGATAATATGTCCAGGTGGAGGAGACGAAGCCCTGGGCCGAGTTGACAAGATCATTGCAGAGGGTGGAAAACAAGTCCAGGAGCGAAAAAGCCCCGCTTGGAGCTTGCAGGACCTTTCTCTGCCAAGGGGAAGCCCAAGGCAAGGAATGTGACTAAGGTAGGGCATTGACCAATAGGAAGGGAGCTGTGTCAGTCCACTGTGATGGAATTCATTTAGTGGTTTGGGGCAACAGAGCTTCATAGGAGAAACACAGACCTCTGCTGCATTGGCTGGCTGGGTGCCCTTTGGGAAATGGATTGCCCTCTTTGAGTCCTAGAATGGGAATAATTCTCTTCCCTCATGAAGTTACTACAAGATTTCAATTAGAGTCCAGCCAGTGTGGTTCAGTGGTTGAGCATCCACTCATGCACCAAGAGGTCACTAGTTCAATTCCCAGTCAGGGCATATGCCCATGTTGTGGGCCTGATCCCCAGTGGGGGCAAGTAGGAGGCAGCCAATCGATGTTCTCTCTCATCGATGTTTCTATCTCTCTCTCCTTTCCTCTTTCTCTAACATAAATAAAGAAAAAAACTTTCTAGAAAAAAAAAAAAAAGATTTTAACTGGACAATGGCACAAGTGCCTAATATATAATAGCTATTAGTAAAAATTTTGCCATCATCATTTTTCTTTTGGTGGTATCAGGAGAGAACTCAGAATAGGAAGGAATAACAGTGCCCTGTGCTTTTATGAACAGTGGAGGCTGGATGGGGTGGAGGAAAAAGGAGGGAAAGGAATATCTGTGGAATCCCAGCCCATGGGTCTCTGGCTATAATGAATAATTTCCTGTGCCTCTGTTTCCACTGATGCCACATTGCCTAGACTCATTCATGTCTATGAGTAAGCAGTTATTAACAGGTGAGCAGTTATTATTTCTCCCCAGGGTGGTGGGGGAGGGCAGTGTGTGTGTGCTTGGAAAATTGCTTTTCTCTGCACCTCATTTCTGAGCCCCCTAGATGACAGTGGTCACCTGTTCACCATGAGAAAAGTGCTTAGGTCAGCAACTGACATACAGTAGGTACTCGATAAAGTGAGCTCTGGTGGCACTGAAGATGAGCTAGTTGAGTGATGGTTATAAGCCCTGGTGGCACTGGTAGATGTCATCTCTGCACAGCTCTAACTGTGTGACCTTGGGCATGACATTGTCTCCGGTACCTCTGGGCAGCAGGAGGTTAGGCCTGAACCAGGACAAATGCTTGATAAATGGTGGCTATTTTCTGTTATTTACTTCCTGCAATGTTGCAGGGGTGAGGGGAAGAAGGGGGTACTTCCCATGTCACATAGATGAAAACTGAGGTTTGAGACCTAACATGTTTGATTAAGGATACCCAATAGGCCCAGACTGGATCAGAGAGCCTGGGAAACTCTGGGCATGAGTGTGGATCTAGGGGGTGAGGGGTAGAAAGAAGGAGGTATAAGTCCAGGGTGATGGGTGGGAGGGTGCCCACCTTCTGCTTGGACTCTGGCTCAGGCTCCAGCTCAGGGTTCTGGCTCCAGCAGCCCTTGCTGCAGGCCTGCTGCTCTATCTCCTTCACGTAGGCCTCCACACAGGCTGCAAGAGCAGGAAGGGGTGACTGGGGGCACTCTTCCCAGGCCACTTCTCCCCACCCTGGCCCACCCAGCCAGCCCTCACCTGCTTCACACTCAGCTTGGGTAGCATTGGGTTTGGAGCTCCTGGCCACGAACTGGCAGATGGAAAAGAGGCGGCAGCCTCGCTCACAAGCACTGATGAAGACGGCCCTGTCATATTCATTCCAGGACTTGGAGGGGTCCTCCTGCTCCAGCTTCTTTTGAGAGGGGGAACACAGGGCTCAGGCCAGAGGGATAGGCAGGAGGAGATGGGCGCTGGAAGCACTCAGAGGAGGAGGTATAAGATTTGGTTCCCCTTCCTCAAATCTAGGGAAATTAGGATGAGGCTAAGAATATTAGTGGGGGCTCTAATCAGGAAGATGAACAATGGAGGGCTCTGGTTCCAGCAAAGGTTAGAAAATTGGGAAGATGGAGGAAAATGGGCCCCCTAAAGACTCCAGGGAGGAGGTGGGATTGAAGAGGATTCTCAGTTTTGAGAAGGGGGATCACTCAGAGGTTTTTCACCTTTCAAGCCTGGGAAAACTGGGATCCAGCTTTGCAGGGTGGTGATGGTACAAGTGGGGTCTGGTAGCTCTGAGTGGGTGGAAGAAGGAATATATGAGAGCTGCTTGTGTGGGCAAGGAGGAGGGGACTGTCTGGCCTGAGGGAAGTGGGGGTTGGGTGCCCCATGGTCCTTGCCCATCAGAGTGTAACCAGAGCCCTCCAGGTGGCATTAGGATCCTCAGTCCTCCCCCCCCACCCCTGCTTGGAGGGACAGCTCCCCCAACCCCGCATTCATCGGAGGGATCCGCATCCCAAAATCTTCCCTATCGCAGGGACACGCCCCCTCAGACCTTCCCAAGGCAGGAACACCTCCGTCCCATCGGGGGACCGGGGTGCCTGGGCTTGTTTCCATTCAAGGGACCCCAGCCCTTTCCCCACCAGAGGGACCTAACCCCATGGGAGAGACACCCCCATTTCCGACCCTTTAACCCTTCTAGGAACCCGTCTCGCGCTCCCAACCGAGAGACCCCCCATTCCCAACCCCTCCCCACATCGGGAAATCGCGGGTCCTATAGCTGGTGCCGCATGCGCGTCACCTGAGAGGGCTGCGGACTAGGGTAGTGATCCCGGCACCGCAGCTGGCAGCTCTGCGTGTCCCCGAGCTGCGGGGCGAAGGGGTCCTGGGCGGGCGGCGCGAGCGTGGCGGGCAGAGGTTGCAACAGCAGCAGCAGGAGTAGCAGCTGCGCCACCCGAGCCATGGCCAGGCCAGGCGCTAGGGGCTGGGGCCGCTGGCTCCCGCAGACACGGAGGATGCGGAGGCGGCGGGGTCCCGGTCGTTGACGTCACCCGAGCGAGGCAGCCGGGGAAGGGGGGGGCAGAGGATGCGGCGAACGGGCGGGGCTGCAGTGCTGCTGCACCTCAGGGATGCAGGCAGGTGGATCGCGGCCTCGGTCATCTGGTCTATCTGTCGCATCCACTGGAGAGGGGAATCTCAGCTTGAGCTAGAGATCAAAATGAAACAAATAGGATGATGAGATAGTGGCGTTTACTCGCCAGAATATCAGGGAGGGCCTCCTGTAAGAGGATGCTTTTGAACTGGCCAAACTTGGCGATTCATGCAGAAGGAACTGCGAGGAACCTGAAGAAGGAAGGAGCTTGTTAGGAGAGGAGGGTGGTGGAGCTGCAACCCAGCCAATAAGTGGAGATGGAGCATCCTGGGGGTCGCAGGGCTGGGTCAGCCAAGGCCTTGGGAAGGCTCCCTGACATTTTCTCTTTTGATACCCAATTCGGGGGATGGTAACTTGTGCACAGTTTACCTCCTTTGGGAAGCCCTCTCAGCCCCTCCAGGGTTCCCCCAGCCTCGCCTTCCTCTGGACCAGCCCTGATCCACAGATCTGAGGGATCTGGCCCCTGCTCCCCCAGACTGGGGGCCCCTAGGCCCCGGACTAGGTGGAATGGGGTACAGAAGTGCAGATAGGGATGTGGGAGTGCTGCTAAAATTTCTAATTGTCTTGGGAAAACTTGGGCAAACGGACACTTCTGGTTTTCATAAAAGCCGCACTCCAAGGTGACAGATTGTAGCCCCGTGAATCTAGCGTTAGAAGGTCACCCTAGCTTCCTCTTTATCAGGCAAGGAAGTGGGGGCGCCCCTCTAAACCTGGATGCCCTGTAAAGGTGACCCTTCTCGCTGGCGTGTCCCTCACAGGTGCCCGCCAAAACCGAGAGGCCGCCTGCCCTTCTTCTATGCTCCGCCCCCGCAGACGGGGTAGCAGCCATGCGGGGTCCACGGGTCAGAGGGCGCCGCAGGTTCTGGCCCAGGAGGAAGGAACCAAGATGGGGGGTGGGATGGCGCACGCTTTCTCCCCAGCCGGCCGCCCGGCTTTCAAGTCCGCGGCCTCGACCGGCCCCCACGTGGCTTAATCAGGCGCGGCTGTGCTTGGTGAACCCCGAACATCTGGATCCCGGCGCGCCCTTCCCCCTCCCCTCCGGGGCTAGGCCACAGCGACCCGGCGGCTAGGGCCTTCAGCCGCAGTTTGCGCGAGTGTGGAGAAACCCCGCGTCTAGGCCATCGCGCGCCAGTCCCGCGCCTCAGGAAACATCCCCATTTCACTGGTGGGAAGCCTAGGTCCCAGGACCCCTCCGCAGAGAGTTAGGATTCAAGCCCACACATGTCAGTTCCAGAGCCCCACGCGCTTAAGCCTTCCACAATTACGGTCCTGCATTTATCTCAAACAAAACATTTACTATGCATTTTCTTGTAACAACTCTATAAGAAAATACTAATAGCAGTTCCCAATTTGCAGATGAGGAAACTGAGGCTCAGGGTGGCCAAGGGTATCGGTCCAGGTGACAAGCAAGAGAAACAAAAAGATGGGCAAGGCTGGGTGTGTGTGGAGGGTCACGTTGGGCATAAGAGGCATTGCTTAGAGCTCAAAAGAAAGTAAGACCACCCTGGGCCAGAAGGCTGCGGAGAGGGAAACTGAGGCAGGAGGGGTTGGACCGATGGCCTAGGTCTCCCGAGAGGAGTGAAAAGGTTTGATTGCCGCCCACCCACCCCCCTTTCTGCTCCACTAGGCCGCTGGGGGCCGGAGCGGAAGGAGGACTTGACCTCGGCCCCCCAGGTGAGCCCCCTCGCCCCTCCTGCTGTTCCAGAGGGAGCAGGTCCAGGTGAGGGGCGGGAGGGCCGGCGGGCGGCCAGGGTCGGATTTCAGGAAATCCGCCGACATTCCTTCGGGGCTTAAGAGGGAAAGTTGACTCGGCGCCGCCCCTCCCCCCCCACTTCCTACCCCCTGGGGCGGCCCGGTGGGGGCGGCAGGCGGGGGGCGCTGCCGCCAGCCTGGGTGGGAATCAGCTGTGGCCCGGCGTTCGGGAAGCAGCGGCCACGGTCAGAGCGGGCATCGGACAAGCACCCTTTGTCCCTTGCTGCCCTCACCATGACCCTGCTGACCCCCAGCCCCAAGTCGGGTACAGGCTGGGGAGAAGGCACGGCCTCTTGGCGCCAGCAATTGCTGACAGTGGGGAGGCAAGGGAAAGGGGCACAATGTCTCCCCCCAACTGCCAGTGCCTCCTGGACCCCAGACATCCTAGGTTCTTCAAGGTGCAAGAGGGGTAGGGAACCCAGGCCTCCATGGCTCAGAGCACTGGCCCTGACCTGGGCCTAGGCAGCCCTGGGACTCCCACCTCCAATGTCTGTAACCCAAGCATCCCAGCTCCCCAGGCTCAGCCTCCTAGGTGGAAATTATACAGTCCTGTAGTCTTATGCACACAGGTCCTGAACCTGAGTCTGCTGCCCCAACACCCCCCACCCCCACCCCTGTCCAGGTCCAGAACCTCACTATCACCACTTCCTGGGAACAATGGCCTGAAACAAAGTAGCTAATCTCATGCTCAGCCTCAATAGGGGTGTAGGGAAGTGGAGACGGTCTCCTGAGACAGGCAGCTCTGTGCCCTCCTCATTCCCACTGTCTCTGGGTCCCTATGGGACCCTAAAGGTGCTGTAACCATGGCCTCCTCCCAGTGGCACCTCAGTGCCTCAAGGAGCTAGGGCTACAGGGACTCCCCCAACCTAATCATTAGGTGCAGAGCCTGAAAGACTAAAAAGGAGCCCCTCCCCTAGCCCATGTGGGGCCCTTCCTCCATCTGCCCCCTCATTACATTCCCAGCCACCTTCAAGGACTTGGGTCAATATTTGCTAGAAGTTCCATCAATGCTGGTTCCTCTTCCTATGCAAAGAGGTGGTGCAACAGGGAAGAAGGGGTTAAGCCACAGGGGCACCAAGGGTAAGCAAAGATGCACCTAGAGGTCAAATCTTTCCTTAAAGTCAAAGCTAGGGGGTCAAGGTCACCCAGAGGGCAGAAGGCACACACTCCAGGACAGGGCTGGGCAGGATTGGGAAATCCAAAGGATCCATACCCTTCTATAGGTAAGGACCAGAGAAAGGTGGCTACTGGCTTGGGTCACACAGCAAGTTAGGGGCTTAGGCCTGGCTGGGACCCCAGGCAACACGATTCACTGAGACTGAGTTTTCTTGTAGCTTGGAGGGACTGAGAATTCTCTATCTTTTCATTTTGCAAATGTCCACTGAGCTCTTCTCCTATCCTGGACCCAAGATGGTGGTCCTAATGGCTTTCAGGGTGCTCACAACCTAAAGGAAATAAGTCACCAGAGAAAGGAGATGTTTGAAGAGCCGTGTTACAAAGACCATTTAAAAAGGGGCAAGGGATAAAGAGTGCTTGGGACGGTGAGAGGTTTTTCTGAGATGGGGACACTTGACCTGTGATCTGATGGAAGAGAAAGCACTAACTGGGGGAAGATCTGGGGGAACTGCACCCCTGCAGAAGGAACAGCAAACATACATACAAAGGCCCTGCCTGATGTATTTGGAGAAATGGCTGGAGAGGCTAGAGAACAGTGAGGGAGAGGAAGGGAAAAAGGAGGGTGGAGAAGAGGAAGGGAGGGGAGGGGAGGAGTGTGGCAGAGAAGAGAAGACTTGCTTCACTTCTTTTAAAAGTTCTCTCCTTCTGCCTGCTGTGCAGATGGGAACAGGAAAGTTATAGGGAAACACAGGAGGAGGCCAGGCGACATCCCAGAGGGAGATGGTGGGGCCTGGACCCTAATGGGGTGGGGAGACGGGGGTCAGAGTCTCAGGAAGGGGATGTATTTTGGAATCAGAGCCAACAGGATTTGCTGATGGATGGGACATGGGGGATGCACAAAGGAGAGAGTTGTCACGCACGCCTCCAGGTCTCTGGCCTGAGCACCTGGATGGATGGGGAGCCTTTTTTCAAGACCCAGGGATGACTTAGGGAAGAGCAGAGATTGGGGGGAAATATCAAGATTTTCCTCCATATGCCTGAAGTCTTCCAAGAAGGGAGTTAAATGTTGAAGGGGCAGGAGGGGTGGCACATATCCTGAATACAATTCCATCCAAGAACTAGCAACTCCATTTCATCCTCTGGAACACCTACCTGGCAGGTGAGATTATGGCCCCATTTTTCAGAGATGACAAACTGAGGCCTGGGGACCACCTCTGCTCCAAAAGCACATGTCCCCCAGTGCTCAGTGATAAGTTAAACACATAGATTGTGGGGCCCTCTGCTGCACTGCATCTTCCCACAGAAACCCTTAGGCTGGCTAGGAGTCATCCACTGTGCAGAGGGGGAAACTGAGGCAGAGGCCTGGCTGGTCCCAGGAAAAGGCTTTAGTCTCACCCAAACTTATACGAAGTCCAGATGGGGGGGGGGGATTGCGCAGAGCCCCCAAGGACCTCAACCTCCAATTCTCTTTTCTAACAATCTGGGGGTCTAAGTTGGAGACCCAGTTAGCAGGGGTGGAGGGCAGTCTTGAGCAAACGAGATGGAGATTCCTAAACCCCCCTCAAGACATTTTTACCCCCTTGGCTAGTTAGGGACATGGGTGAAGCATCCAGGCCTCCAAGGGAACCCGGTGAAGAGATAGTTAGAGACCCCCACTCAGGACAAGCGGCTAGGGGCGGGGCTTCGATCCAAACCCCCGGCCCGGGCTAAACTCTCATTTCAGGCGCCACCTCCCCCACCTTGGCCTTGGAGTTCAAGAACCCTTTTATTCTGGGCGCACAGATAGACTACGGACGGAGAGGAGGAGGATGAGACGTCCGGGCTGGAAGGGGGTCCCGAAACCCAAGCAATGGCCAAAAATAATAACACGGAGAAGAATTCCTGCGCAAAAAAATAGTAAGACAAACTAGCATCGCTCCCGGCAGCCGGCGTTACCTGGAGTAGGCGGGCGGTGGCCGCCGGAGCGATTACTCACAGCGTGGCGCACCCCACCCGCGGGCCGCTGAGCGGATTTTTCCGTGGGGGGTGTCAATGAGACCGGGGGGAGCTACTTACTGCTCTCCTCCTGGGCATCGCTCCTGCCCGCGGGCGGGACCCGCACAGGGCCCCGTCCCCGCTCACACGAGGGCCCATTGGCACCCCCGCCCACACGGGACCTCCCTCCTGAGGCCCCCCCCCAAGGTGCCCAGAGTAACCTCATCCCGCGCGAGTGGTACTACTGAGCCAGAGTGAGTGCCAGAAACTCCGTACTTCCAGCTTTTTCTCCGTCTTCCCTCCAGCAAAGCCTGGGCCCGAGGTTGCCTGCGGCGGACAGAGAGGCGGAATGCAGTGAGAGGGGGGCCTCCGGCCCGAGGCTAATGGGACCCGAGCGCCGATGGTGTGGAGCGAGTAGGGAGCGACTTTCAGGCCCCTGGGAATGAAGGAAGGCTGAAGATAGAAGGAGGTGGACCACTCAGTGGGGTGGCGGGACCACAACTGGGGTGCGGGTTGAAACAGACGATTTCGGGGGTAGACACGGGCCTGGACTGAGGGTCACAGGGGACACTGAAGGGGCACCCGGCCGAGAGCAGGGTGCAGGGAAGTGGGCGGGAATATGGAAACGGAGTTGGGGACGCCAGGTCCTTCATTGGGGGCGGGGAGCCTGGAACTGGCTGGGTTCGAATGGAAGGTCTCGGGCCGGTAGGGGTTGGGAAGGGGTTTCTGGGCCTCGGGACAGGGAGTGCGCGGTGTGCGGAGGGGCGGAGGCCGGACGGGTGGGGCGCGCGGTGCCCGCGGGCAGGCGGGCTGCGGAGAAGCCGGTGCGGGGCCCGCCGCTCCCCCCACCCCCGGGCCGGGGGCGGGGCCGGGCGGGGCCAGCGGCGCATTAGCGCCTTGTCAATTCGGCTGCTCAGACTTGCTCCGGCCTCCGCGCCCGCGCCCAGCGACGTGCGGGCTGCCCAGTCCGCACTCACTCCCGTCCCGCGCCGCCGCTGCCGCTGTCCGCCGCGCACCCCCGGCAGCGCCAGCCCGATGCCCGCCGGCCGCCTGGGCCCCGCCGCCCAATCCGCGCGGCGGCCGCCGCCGCTGCTGCCCCTACTGCTTCTCTGCGTCCTCGGGGCGCCGCGAGACGGATCAGGAGCCCGTGAGTACCGGGAGCCCTGCTCCTCCCTTCCCGCCTGGGCGGAGAGCTTGCGCCCTGGGGGCAGCCACGGGGGGGCGGGGGGGGAGGGAGCGCAGGCGCCACCTGGACGGCCCGGGAACAAAGGAAGGCGCCCCCGGCACGGCCCTCGGGGCGCCCTCACCTGCGGGGCGCACAGCGCAGCAGTCGACTGGCCCGAGGGTCCGGCTTCCGCGCCCGAGGCCTTACCTGGGCCGCGGGGCCGAGGACGCCCGGCCCGCCCCCGGAGTTTGGGGGGCCCGTGTGCTGGGACCCTCTGCATGCCGGGACTCGGCGGACGCACGCAACAGCGTCCGCGGATTCCGAGCCGCGGAGACCGCTGGGCACCGATCCTGGGCGGGGGCGCACGCGGAAGGCGCTCTGGGTGCCGGCCCCGAGCACCGCCCCCCCCCCCCCCGTGGAGGGATGAGCCCCGCGGGGAAGGCGGGGCGGGAGGGGGGCGGCTCTGGCCGCCTGGCGCGCGGCCCGGGGTCCCCGGGGACGCGCCTCTCCGCGGGCCGGCGCCGCCGCCCTCCCCCGGCGGGACACTGTGCGCGGGGGTCCGCGGAGTTTCATCCACCGGGGCCGCTCGGAACCGTTCCTGGCCGGGCTGCGCCGGGCTAGGAGCCTCCAGAGAGAGAAATCTTTGTGAGCCTGTGGGTGAGAGGGAGAGGAACCGGGAGTCAGCGAGTCAGGGCACCGTGGGCCCAGCTTTGGATAGGGGGGCCCCGGAAACCAACAGCCGGGCCGGCCACGGCCCCCCGCCCCGTCGGGAGCTCCTGGCCCCGGCACTCTCTGCCCCCTCAACCCATGCACACCCCCTCCAGGACACAGTCTCTACATCCAGACCAGCTTTGGGACACACCCAGAGACACACAAAGACACACTGGCTTGTGGCCCATCACTCTCGCCCTCAGAAGCACACACTGCATCCCAGATGCACATTCGCACACCATCAGGGCACACACACATTCCATCCCAGGCACACACACTTTCGTGGTCACACACTCATTGCTCAGGGGATATAACACAGGAGCACACACAGAGGCACAGCTGCCTGGGACACTCACAGTCACTCCACACCCATTCAGACACACCGGTTGCCCCGGGTGGACACACACTGCTGCCCAGGTTGCCCCACACTGCAAAGAGCTATTTGCAGGCTCACTGCGGTGCCCCTCCAGAGAGGGCAGGCTCCAGACACCCCCTAGGGGCACTTGCTGAAAACCCAGCAGCCCAGGGTGCCTGGGCAGGTGAGGGGGCTGCCCCAGGCCCTTCCCAGGTCTCTGACGACCTGTGAGTGGCAGTGTTTGTGTCAGGCTTTGTTTCCCAGCCGGTAGAGCAACAGGGAAGGTGGTGGTGGTGGTGGTGGTGGTGGTGTTCTTGTTGTGCATGTGTTTTTTCCTTTAAGGGGGAAGAAATTAAATAAAAGATTCTCACACCTCGGCAATATGTTTCTACTTACGGTGTGTCTTAGCACCTGACCAGCAAGCGGGTGGGTCGTAAAGTGTCTGTAGGTACCAGTGGAATGAGAGATGGGGACCCCTGTAGGAACCCAGGGATGGAGGCCACCCTCCTGTATTGCTTGCAGAGAATCTCACACTTTTCCCTTTTAAAACACATGGTGTTCCTTTTTAATAACAGCAGTGGCTCCAGATTGGGAAGTAGGGAAGGAAAAAACTTTTAAAGGCCTCAGTTCTGCAGGAACGGTGTGGAGGCAGGGATGTAGGGTGGGAGGGCTGTCCAAAAGACTAGCCCAGGGATCTGCTTTTGGGAGCCTTCTAGGAGACCCCCAAATCAAGCCAAAGGCTCCCCAACCTCAGTGGGCTGTTATTTGTGGAATGTGTGCATCCTGGTCCTGAGTGCCTTGGCCCATTATTTGGGGAGTGCAGAGCCAGCTTGGACCCCAGAGCTGGAAAGGGCTTTAATCCTAATAGTTCTTAGGCACTCTGGACCTTGTGATCTCATGTTATTAATCTCCCCAGCAGGTAGAATATATTTTCCTCCCATTTTATGGAAGAGGAAACTGAGAACAGGAGAGGGAAAGCCAATTGCCCAGGTACTCCAGCTGGGATTGGCACCCACAACCCAGGAGAAGAAGGCCTCACTCTGACCTTTCCTGTGGAGCTTGGAGGGGTGGGGGGCTGGCCTGTCCAGGCCCGCCTGGCCTTGCCCTCTCGCCCAGTCCCCCACCCAATCCTTGGAGGGCAGCTGCAGCTGCTGGCAGGCGGGCAATTTTAGTTCAGGCCAGGCGGGTGTGGCAGAGGGGCAGTGCCCCCCCTCAGCAGGACCCCCCAGAAAGTCCTTTCCTGACCAGGATATGAATATGGGGGGGTAGGAGGGATGTGACCCATCCCCCAGGACTGGGAGTGGACTTGGGGTCCCTGCTGGGGGTGGGGGCAGGCAGGAAGTGGTGGGTGGGCCGGGGCAGAGATGCTGGCACGCCCGAGTTCATGCCGGAGGAATTCCGAATTAGCTAGCGGCTGGCTGCCTGGGACCTCCGGGGCGGCCCCCTCTCCCTGCCGCGCCCCGCCCCCACCCCCGCCTCCTAGGCTCTGGCCCGCTCAGCCGGCTCCTTCGCACGGACGCTGAGACCTCCGGAGAGCCCTGGGCCAAGCCTCAAACGCAACTGTGATCCTAGGCTCCAGCAAGACATGGCCCTCAAAATTGCCCCCCAAAATTGTCAGGGCTGGCCCCTGGAACCGTGTCCACCCGACCTCTTCCATCTGAGGCAGTGAAAGACAGCCGCTGGCTTTGGGGGGGGGGGCATCCCAGGGGGCCAGGATGATCCTGTCCTTGGCTGCCATCTCAAGGAAGCTGGGCTGCCCTCCCCTCTGCCCCTCTGCCCCTCTGTAGTCCCTTAATGTTGCCTGGGAATCCTTTAAAAATGTAAATCCCTCCCCTGTTCAGAACTCTGGAATACTCCCTGCCAGTCAGGCCCCTGTTGATCTCCTAGACCTCATTTCCTACTATTTTTGCCCCAGAACTTTTGTACTTGTGGCTCCCGCTGCCTGGATACTCTCTCCTACATATTTTCATGACTACTTCTTTCACTTTATTCACATCTCAGCTCAAATGCCACCTCCCTAGACAGGCCTCCTGGGCCATTGAGCTGCACTACTGACTCATGCTTTACTTTCTCCCTATTTATCCTCTCAGATATTTTGTTCTTTTTGCTGCTGCTCTCTTGGATTCAAGGCCCACAAGGGCAGGAATCTTGGGTATCTTGGTCACCACAGTGCCTCCAGCTCCTGGCACACTGTAGGTGATCAGTGAAGGAAGGATTGAACAAGTGAGTGAATGAATCCCCACAACTGCTCTTGGTGGAGGGAGAGGCTCCTTCCCAGAGACTCAGAGAAGTAAAGGGCCTGGACCAAACTTCCACAGTGAGCTGGGGACATTCGAACAGAAGTTAGCCTGGCTTTAAAGTCCCATAGGGATGTCCTGATGACAATACTTTTACTCCTCTCAAACAACTGCATGTGTTTGACACCATGATGCTCACTTCTCAGGGGCGTGGACTGTAAGTACTCTCCCCTTTCTCTGGCCCTTGGTTTCCCTGTGGGTAAAACAATCTCCTCTTAGGTTCTGATCTCCAGAAGAGGGAGCCCTGGGCTGCCCCCAACTGGCCAGCAGGAGGAGAAGCATCAATCACTTTGTCCTTGAGGCCCAGTGCTCAGCACCTAATTTAAAGAACCAAGTTTAGGAAGCCACTTCCCAGAATCTGATCATCACAATGGCCCAGGGCACCAGGAACTTTCTTGTTCCCATTTTGCAGTCAAGTCCTTTTGAATGGTAGTTGGGGGCCTAGAGCTTGCCCCAGCCACCTTCCATTCCAGCACAGAGCAGGACTTTAGAGACAAGTCTGGGTTTGAATAGTGTGCCCTTCCCTCAGTCAGTGATTTTAGGCAGGGGACTTAATCTCTCAGGGCCTTGTTTTTTTTTTAATCCATAAAAGAGCAAGATTTTCATAGGGAATCCTCCCCACAGAGACACCTACTGTGTGTGAGACCCTGGAGATATGAGAGCAAAAACTCACAATAATTTATTTCTAATTGCCAAAAATAAAATGAAATTTTAAAAAAGTAGAGTATAGGGTTTTTCAGAACGGTATGCAAAGCAAGAGTGACTTGAATGTGAGTAGGCATTTGTGCCTAAGGTTTGTAACCACTCAGAACCTTGAGTAGGTCAGTGATGAAGTGGCTTGGATGAACTAACTGAACCTCCGTTTCCTTATCTATAAAATGGGGATAATAGTAAAGATCGCCTTTGCAGGACTGTCATGAGTCCTGGAGGTCCTAGCATGGTGGGGATTCAGGGCAGCTCTATCCCAGGCCTGATAGGCCCTCTTCTCTGACCCCAGACACGGCTGTGATCAGTCCCCAGGACCCCACACTCCTCATCGGCTCCTCCCTTCAGGCCACCTGCTCAGTGCACGGGGACCTGCAGGGCCCCACTGCAGAGGGCCTCTACTGGACCCTCAACGGGCGCCGCCTGCCCCCCGAGCTCTCCCGAATGCTCAATGCCTCCACCCTGGCCCTCGCCCTGGCCAACCTCAACGGATCCAGGCAGCAGTCAGGGGACAACCTCGTGTGCCATGCTCCAGACGGCAGCATCCTAGCAGGCTCCTGCCTCTATGTTGGCCGTAAGTGGCTTCCAGGACGCTTGGGTAGCTTTTGGGAGCAGCATCTCCCTCTGGAGAGGGGCATGAATCATGGGCCCTCTGGCCCAGGACTGGATGGTGGGCATACACACTTGCACGGATTGAGAGGTATGGGCCTCTGGGTGGGAATGAAACCCTGGAGACCCCCCCCCCCACCATGGTCCCCAAGAGAGCTCATGCAGGGGATCATGCCAACATCCACCCTGTCCGCCCTCCTTCCACTCCAAGGTGGGGCTGGCTGGAGACCAGCAGCTCCTCCACCTGTCCACAGCCGGTCCAGACCCTCAGCCCCTGAACCTCCTCCCCAGTGCCCCCAGAGAAACCCTTCAACATCAGTTGCTGGTCCAAGAACATGAAGGACCTGACATGCCGCTGGACACCGGGGGCCCATGGGGAGACCTTCCTCCACACGAACTACTCCCTGAAGTACAAGCTGAGGTTGGTGATGGCCCTCGGTGACATGTGTCCCAGCCTGGCTGTGAGGCTTTTGCCAAGCCTGCCTGCCTGCCCTCAGAGCCCAGTGTCCTGTCTGTACTCTGGGACTGCCCTAGTGAGGTTTGAGGCCCTTAAGGAACCCTCATGTGTCCTCACCCCCCCTGCCCCCGCAGGTGGTATGGGCAGGACAACACGTGTGAGGAGTACCACACGGTGGGACCCCACTCCTGCCACATCCCCAAGGACTTGGCCCTCTTTACCCCCTACGAGATCTGGGTGGAAGCCACCAACAGGCTGGGCTCGGCCCGCTCAGATGTGCTCACACTGGACATCCTGGATGTGGGTGAGGCACCCCCCAGGGGGAGATCCTATCCCCACCTCAGCCCAGTCATGGCTATATCTCTGGTCCAACCCTGCTGGTTGGGGCAGGGAGTACCCATCAGTCCCCAGCTCCCTGAATCAGCCAGAATCAGTCCACTCTTCAGAGAACACCTGGCCTGGCCCCCTCCTCCTCCAAGCCCAGGTGTGTTGGAGGGCACTCACCCCCCCAGGTGGGAGGAGGTGTCCAGGTCTGAAGCACCCCAGGAAACCACAGCCTGGAGCTGCGGGGTGGGGGGTGGGGGGCAGGCAAGAGGCAGGAAATGGATGATCTGCAGCAGAATTGGGCCTAATCTAATTAGGGTGTTTCTCAGCCCTGAGCAGGCCTGTGTCTTAACCCATTCGGGTCCCTCATCGAGGCCTCAGGGGGAGAGCCAGCTCTCCCTGCTTCCCACAGGGCTCCCAGAAGGATCCCAGATCTATCCTGGCTTGGAGCCACCCCCACCCCAGCCTGCTTCACGATTCACTTCCTTAAGTCTTGAAGCTGCGGTGGGCATGTTCTCAGCTTCAGTTGTCCCTCTGCACCCAGCAAGGCTGTCATACTGAGGACCTTTGTAAGGTGGAAAGGAGTTGGAGGTGGGTGGTGATGGCCCCCTGGGAATAGTAATCATAATAACAATAATAATATCATCATCGGCAAGACAGTGTCTGCTTTTACAGAATTCTCTGAAGATAGGATTATGTTTCTCCTGTCACAGATAATAATGGTGATAACAACAACATTAATTGAGTGCTTCTAGGCGCTGAGTGTTTCCTGAATATTGTCTAATGTTATCCACCCATCCTCGAGGTAGGGGGGGTGGGGGAGAACGGAAGCAGGTGCCACCTAAGCCACCTGCTCCGGGATTTGAACCCAGACAGGGGCCAGCCAGGTCCCAGGAGCCAGTGGCAAAGCCCCGTCCCACTCCGTCCGGCAGTGACCACCGATCCCCCGCCCGATGTTCACGTGAGCCGAGTCGGGGGCCTGGAGGACCAGCTGAGCGTGCGCTGGGTTTCCCCGCCCGCCCTCAAGGACTTCCTCTTCCAAGCCAAGTACCAGATCCGCTACCGTGTGGAGGACAGTGTGGATTGGAAGGTGTCCACCCCCCCCCGCCCCCGCCCCACTCCTGGCCACGCCCTGGCCACGCCCTGGCCTCTGACCCTGCCCTTGCCGCCCAGGTGGTGGACGACGTGAGCAACCAGACCTCCTGCCGCCTGGCAGGCCTGAAGCCAGGCACCGTCTACTTCGTGCAAGTGCGCTGCAACCCCTTTGGCATCTATGGCTCCAAAAAGGCAGGGATCTGGAGCGAGTGGAGCCACCCCACGGCTGCCTCCACCCCCCGTAGTGGTGAGCACTCAACACGGCTGGGTGGGTATGGGACCAGCCTTAAACCAGCCTGGGCTTGGGCTTTTGTTTTCTTGTTTTGTTTTTGTTTTTCCAGGACAGCAGAGGTCTCAGACTGGTGGCCCCTAGGTGAAATTTGGTCCCTGGATCTATCCTTTGAAAAAACAAACATCCCCCCCCCCCATTTGATCTACTTGCAGACATTTAAAAACAGAAGTTTTAACACAAATATCCTAGATTCCCTACAAAAATTGTGTAGAAAATGTAACAGGACTCAGCCAGCATTGCTCCATCAGCAAAGGCTGCCCCTTCATGCTGGGTCTTCTCTCTCCAGTTGCCTCATTTCCAACTGGCCCATTTCACCGACCTTTACCCCCTCCCTAACCCCTAAGGGCAAATGAGTTTGAGACCCTTGCTTCCTAGGCTGATGGGCTGTCAACTCTCCCTCTAATGGGCCTCAGCTTCCCTTTCTGACCCAGGTAGGGGACTAGGGATGATCAGGGGCCTAGGTCTGGCTCCCCTTGATATCTGGGGTTCCTCTGAGCCCATGGACTTCCTTTCTCTCCTTTGTGAAATGATATGAAATCTGTTACTTGAAATATCTGGCTTCAGCTTACCCTTCTGGAAAGTGGGGATGATAATGACTCCTGTCTCAGGCTATTGTGCAGGTGAGATGCCATAACCCATGGAAAGTGCCCTCATAATGAGCATCACATAAGGCTCCCTTCCCCTACTCCCCCCATGGTTCCACCCCAAAGTAGGCCCCCTTTTCTCAGGTGAAGACACTTTGGCCTCCGGAGGTTTAGCCAGCCCCCAAGGTCACACACAGATCTGAGCTCAATTTGCTGGAAGTCCAGCCCACACTTGCTCCTGGGATAATGGGGAAACCATGGCCCAGAGAGGGTCTCAGAACCAGGGAGGGGCAGAACCTAGCTCCAGCTAGCTTCCCAGCTCTCACTGTGGGGCCCTCCAGGTTCTGGGGTGGGCGGGAGCTAGAGACCAGGAGGGGCTGAGCCTTGGCCCCTGCTCGTGCCCAGCACCTGCGATTCTTGCACGGGAGCCAGCAGGCGGCTGTGTCTGCAGAGGAGGCTGGGGAGGCTAGGGGAGGCCAGCAGGGGCCTGTGCTGTGCCAGGGCCTGTCAGCGGGTCCCCTGTGTTATTTATGACGTGAGGCCGATGTCCTTATCCGTGGGCCTGTCCAGGGCTGGCTGAGTCCAGCAGCTGGACCCGAAGGCAGGCCTCCCACCTGGATCTCCCATCCGCTTCTAGTCCCAGGGACTCCTGCTCCCACGGGCTACCTCCTTTCAATTCTGTCACTCTCTTTCCTTCTGTCTCTCTTTCTTGGTTTGTGTCCCTACATGCCCAGGCTCTGTTCCCCCACTTTCTCCACCCCTCCTCCCCCCTCTGAATCTCCTTGGCTGACCCCCATGGCTTTGGCCCCCCTACATCTCCGTCTCTGCCTCTGTATCTCTCTCCCTCTCTGCTCCCTGCTCTGTCTCTGAGTCTCATCCCTCCGGGCTTGGCCTCTCACCTTCTCCCCCATCTCCTAACACTCACACCTGGCTCAGGCCACAGGAATCGGGTTCCTGGAGATGTGGAGGAGGAGCCCCTTCCTTCCCCTACTCCCCACCTCCTCAGGGGCGCAGCTCAGCTGCTGGGCTGGGCGGTGGGGAGGACGCGGTCTTGGAGAAATGGGGGGAGGTGCCCGAGGTCTGTCGCACCGGGACCCTCCCTCCGCTGCCCGCGCGCGCCCTCTGTCGGGCGCGCCCTAACGCTGCCGCTTCGCCCTCAGAGCGTCCGGGCCCGGGCGGCGGGGCCTGCGAGCCGAGGGGCGGAGAGCCGAGCTCGGGGCCCGTGCGGCGCGAGCTCAAGCAGTTCCTGGGCTGGCTCAAGAAGCACGCATACTGCTCGAACCTCAGTTTCCGCCTCTATGACCAGTGGCGTGCTTGGATGCAGAAGTCGCACAAGACCCGAAATCAGGTAGGAAGGAGGGACCCGTGGGCGAAGGATGAGGGGTGGGGCGAGGAGGTGGGTTCCTAGCCCCCCCCCCACACCACCACCTTCCTTCTAAGCACAGGACGAGGGGATCTTGCCCTCGGGCAGACGAAGCACGTCGAGAGGTAAGGGGGGCCCAGGTGGGTGGGTAATGGTGAGATAAGGGCCTTCCCGGTGGCCAATAGGCCAGTGGGCCCCTCACTCTCTGGACCACAGGCCAATGCTCTAACCGCTGAGCCAAACTGGCCAGGACTGGCCCCTCACTCTCATCCTTCAGTTTATCAGCATTTACTTAGCACCAATTGTGCACCTGGTCCTGTGACTTTTAATCTAGTAAGAGCACCCAACTCCTTAAAAATATCCGAAGTGGAACATTTGGAATGAATAAACATGCTAGTCCAAGTTAGCATGTTTGAGTGCCTACTGCATGCTGGGCCTTTGCCAAAGGCTTTACCTGCAGAACACACCCTGGGATGGATAGATACTTACTTCTTAGAACCAAGGCCCAGGGAGAGGCAGTACCCTGCCCAAGGTCACCCAGCTGAAAGTGGTGGGGCAAGGATCTGAACAGGAGGGGAGGGGTGGGGGGATAAGGGGGTTCCTTAATTGCTCTGTAGTGGCCTCTTGTAGGCTCCCTGCTTAGCCTGGCTTCATCTCTGCCTGCAGGTCCTGCCAGATAAGCTCTAGGGGCTGGGGGCCACCATCCCTGCTTCATGAAGACCCAGGGCTGCAACCAGACTGAGGCCACCTCTGTACCCTCACCTCATGGTGCCTGAGCACCCTTGGCAGGAGCTGGAGTGGCACTCTGAGTTCCAAGGATCACATCTCTGGCATCCATGTGAGGCCAACCCTTGGGTGCCATTGGGTGTGTGTGAGGGTTGGCCAAGCTGCCCAGAACCCCTGCCAGGGCTGAGGGTGAATAAGAGTCATTACTTCCCTCACCCAGGATCCCTCCAAAGAATCTTTTTAAATAAACGAGCTACTTAGGTTCCCTGACTGTGAACATGAGTTTGGGGCTGTAGAGGCCTGGGGTGGGGCATAAGGGCTTCTAATGATCCTTTGCAATTGAAATCCTTGCCTCCCAGAATTTCAGACTCTCCCCAGAATTGGAACTATCTGGTTCTAAACTTCTTGTAGAGTGTGATTCAAAACACCAGAGTTTCATCAGTGTATGGGGGGAGGGAGTCTTTCACCCTCCATCCCTGCCCCCGTGGGACCCCTCTACAGGTATACACACCCCAGGATGCAGAGACAGTAGAACAGCTGCAGATGAAGGGTTCTTTATTGTGGGAGGTGTGGCTTGACCTCATCCAGCTAGCAGTCAGAGCTGGGTGCCACCCAACCTATTTCCCATCTCCCTCAGCGGGTCCCTGGGAAGTCTCCATCACTCAGCAGATTCTGCATCAAACCTGAAGTCCTGGAGAACCTCGTTGATGGCTTCCATGGTTTTAATTACCCTATAGGAGCGGATGGGAACTATAAATAAAACCCAGATAGGGCAAATTAGTCTCCACTGCACAGCTCTGAGAGGGCTGTGGCAAGCCCTGGGCCCTCCAGCCCGCCACCAAGCTTTCAGGCAACATCAGTGGCCAGGAGGACCATTTGAGTGCCTGGCAGCAGAGGTGGTCCTGTAGCTCCTATAGGTCACAGTGGGCAGAGAGAAAAGACCATCTTGGGTGGGTGTATGCCATCAGCAGGGTATACAGTGTGACTGTGGTGATGTCAAGGGGGTGTGCATGTGTGTGTGCTTGGGGGAGTTAGGGCAGGAATGTGCAGGTGCTTGGTGGGGCCTGGGTGACTGTGTCCAAGATGTGCAGCTGTCCCAGAAATGAGTAGCAAGTCTGGTGTGGAAATAAATGGAGGGTGTGTGCACTGAGTTGTGTGTCTGGGAGTCATGAGGTGTGGACTCTGTTGTGCATATCCTTAGCGTTGTGTGCAGGTCCAGAGGGTCTGACAGTGCCAGCCGAAGGCATACCTGGCTAGGAGTGTGTGCCTGGCCCGTGTGCAAATCTAACATGGCCAGCCCACTGGGAAGAGGCACTCACTTCATCTTCAGCTGGGACAACTGTAGCGTGTCTTCCTGCCCTGTGAGCTCTGGCGCCCCCATCAGTTGCAGTAGGGCCACCTAGTGCAGAGGGGTGGGGAATGGGGGACAGCAGGTAGGATATCAAAGCAAGCAGAGGCCACTCTCTGCCCCACCCCAAAACACACACCAGTTAGAGACAACCAGAAAGGCAGCCAAGGGGTGGGTCCATGGTGGGGAGTAGGCAGGGTGCTGCTTTGCGGGGGAATAGCAGCCAGGTATAGGCTGCAGGGGCACAGTAGGTGGGGCCTCACAGTCTCGGGGGGGGGGGGGGGGGGAGACAGGACGCTATAATTCTAGGGTAGTAGTAGGCCAAAAACCTAGATTGGGATATAGGAAGTGTGGGTGGCTTGGAAATCCCAGTCTAGAATGTGATATGGGTATGGCTTCGCATGGACTAAGCCTGGGAATGGTGTATCTCAGCCAGGACTGGCTGTAGAGGCAGAGTATGTGGAGTCTTGTAACTTTAGGGAAGGAATAGGTCCAGAACTGAGGCTAGGGGACCCGACTGAACCCCTCCCCTTCCAGAAGCAAGGAGTTGAGGACAGGACCTGAAGCATTAAGAAGAGCCTGAGGGGAGGCACCGTTGTGGGGACAGAGGTGGGAGCAGGACACGATACACTGGGGGCAGGGACTAGGATGGATGGACTAGACAAGTTTGGGGACTAAAAGCCTGGAATGAAACCTGGTGGACAGGTAGAGACCAGGAGGCCGAAGAATCACAAATGAAGCCTTAATGGAAGATTGAAGTGGGGTAGAAAGTGGTGGGGTCTGGGGTTCTGGGAGCGAGGTTTTGGGGGACTGGAATCTTCTGGCCCTTCACCCACGTGGTGCGGAGTAGACCCAGCAGGCCACCGAAAGAGAGTCTAGGTTTGGAGTAGGGGGCAGGGCCTCACCGTTGCCAGGCGTGTCTGCTCCAGCTGCTGTAGGCTGCGCACGTGGTTCGCGAGCAGCGGTTGTGCTCTGGGGCCAGCCAACTCAGCCTCCACCGCCAGCACCTCCCGCGAGGTGGCGTCGAAGGCCTGGGTCACCTCGTGCACTGTGATCTGGTAGCGCGGGAAGTCGTATGGCGGGCCGCTGCGCAGGTACTGGCGGTGGCCTCTGCGGCAGGGGGCGCCCTGAGGCTACACTCTCAGGCTCTGCACCCACATCGGCCACCTGAAAGCCCCCGCCCCTCCCCATTAAGCGTCCCTGGACCGGTGTGGAGGACGCTGATTCCTGCAGAAGAACCAGAGACAGCCCCTCTGCTGTGCTTGGGGAAGAGAGAGACATCCCGCAGAGTGGGACGTCTGGAAGTGGGAAGGTACTCTGGGTCCTCTCGTAAACGCCCAGCCTCGGCCAATGCTGCTACACCAGAAGACAGCTCTGCCCCCAGCACACCCACCTCCGGAGCAGGCAGGGGACTGAAACCTGAGACCCCTGCTGGTCCTCTGTGCTGGCACTTACTCTTCCAGGCGGCGGAAGGCCTGCGCACGTTCAGCCTGCAACTGGTGGATGCGCTGCACCAGCGCCCGGATCGGGGCATCTTTCTACGGAGCAGAAAACAAGGCTGGGCATGAATTCTGTATCACCCCCCCCCCCCCCCCCCCCGGCGACTGGTCCTACTCGGTTCTGGGCTCACCCAAGGCCACGTCGGTTCCTCGAGCTCTGGGTCTCCTCTGGCTGCCGCAGCTTCGGACACGGTGGGGACGGCAGACTCATCCACGGTCTCAGCAGTGATCATGACTGCGCAGTCCTGGCCACACCCGGGGGGTTGCTCTGCTGCGGTATGCGCCCCCTGTAGGCCCGGAGGCCTCGGGGCCCCGGCTGGTGACTGGCCAAACGGGAAACCTGGAGACCCAGAATAGGGAGGGGAGACTAGGGGCTTCTCAGCCCTGACAACTACCAACCCCACCCTTCTACTAGCTCTCGCCCAGCACCTTTCTTCTTTCATTTTAATTTTAGTGTACATCTCCGAGTATAGCAAGGTTATCCCTCGGTTTATAGGTTTATGTGCTTATGTCAACACGGACTTCTTCCATCCATGTAACGTCCTCACAAGGAAACCGATATGCGTCACATAGTGCCACAAGGCTGTGACAAGAGTGGGATTTTAACGCAGTTTGACAATAGACTCAAGTTGTTCCAGGTGACTAGCAGACTCTGGCTGTGTCAACACCTCATAAATGATCTGAAGGGAGGAGCCTGGGAGCAGGGGTGAGGCCAAATAGGGCCTCATATAAACCTGAGGTGGCTTCTAAGCTTTCTGCTGGAAATTCACCACTTAGTTTGAGCTGAGCAGCTTCCTTCTCCTGAGCTGGAAATGGGGAAGATTGTTAAATGGTGGTGGCCTGGTCTAGGGAGGAGGGGGTGTAGTTTGACAGGGATTTGGTTTGGAGCGGCAGATTCTAGCCTTTAGCTGGCACTACAGGTGTCAGCTATTCTTAGACATTTTCCAGGCCCCACTTGTCCCAAGCAAGCATAGCCTTCGCAGGGCATCCTATGCATAACCCTCACCTGATTTGCAGAAGCATCAAAGTCTTAAACCACAAAGACCTACCTTTTCAAAATCACTGGTCTCAGGAGGGGCCCATGTGTTTCTAAGATTCAAAATTGAGAACAGTTTTACAAGGGCCCAGCCAAACCACAGTTCCACCAGTCCCTGGCCTGGGGCCTTCAATCCCTTGTTATAGATGACAAAACCAAGATAGGCAGGCTCCCTAGGCTCTGTGGCAGAGGGTCAGGATTAGTCCATTTAACAGATGAGGAACCCAAAAGGACAGCACCACCAAAGGCTCTGAAGTCATGTAATGGGCCACCTTCCCCACTGGACAGATCAGCCACATGGACACCAGTTACTGCTCCAGTCAACAAAACAGAAACTTTATTGAGGTCCCAGTCGCAGGGTTCAGGCAGAAGGCTGCCCTGTGGGCCTGAGGAGTTGGAGGAGTCTTATTTAACCTTCTTCTTGGGGCGAAGGTTGTTGGTGTGGCCGCACTTCTTCTTGCGGCAGTTGACAGCACGGGGGTGCAGGCGGGCATAACACCTGGGCATAGACAGGAGGGACTGGTCAGGGCACCTGACCCTTCCCTATAAGGGTCAGCCCGCCCCACCCCCAACCATACTTACTTGCGGCAGATCATCTTGTCGCAGTTGTACTTCTGGGCGAGCTGGCGGAGGGAGGGCTCAATGATGCCACCCCTCAGACGAAGCACCAAGTGCAGGGTGGACTCTATATATAAAAAATAAAGGTTGGGGAGAGACAGTGACTCATCCTGGGCCTACCACTTGGTCCACAGATGAAGGTAAAGCCTCTGGGTGATGACCACATCAACCTCTGGGGAGTCTAAGGCTAATAAATACAAACAGTGGTATCCAACTGGCTTCCCAACAGTTAAGGTGATTTCTAAGTAGTGTGAAGCTGACCTTTTATTTTTGCTTGGCAGGACAGTTAAAGCTTGTTGCTGCGAAGAGTGACACCGATTTCCCTTACAGTAGTTACATTTTTATTTATTTTTTTATCCTCACCCGAGGACATTTTTCCATTTTCTGTTCAGATAGATTGGGAGGGAGAGAGAGGAAGAGAGAGAGAAACATCGATGTGAAGGGACACATCGAGTGGCTGCCATCTGCATGACCAACCAGGGCCGGGGACAAACTGCAACCGAGGTACGTGCCCTTAGCGGGAACCGAACCCGGGTCTCTCTGTACCGCAGGACGACGCTCCAACCAACCAACCGCTGAGCCAAACCGGCCAGGGCAGTAGTTACATTTTTATTTTTTATTTTATTTATTTATTTATTTATTTATTTATTTATTTTTATAGAGTAGGAGGGAGAGAGAGGAAGGGAGAGAGAGACAGAAACATCGACGTGAAGGGACACATCGAGTGGCTGCCACCCGCACGACCAACCAGGGCCGGGGACAAACTGCAACTGAAGTACGTGCCCTTAGCGGGAACCGAACCCGGGTCTCTCCAGACCACAGGCCGACGCTCTAACCGCTGAGCCAAACTGGCCAGGGCAGTAGTTACATTTTTAAACAAAATGTGTCTTTTTTTTAATCCTCACCTGAGGACACTTTTCCATTTTTTATTCAGACTGAGTGGGAGGGAGAGAGAGAAACATCGATGCGAAAGGGACACATCGAGTGGCCGCCACCCGCACGACCAACCAGGGCTGGGGACAATCTGCAACCGAGGTACGTGCCCCTAACGGGAACCAAACCCAGGTCTCTCTGGACCACAGGCTGATGCTCTAACCACTGAGAAAAACCGGCTGGGGCACAAAATATGTCTTAAATAGTATCTTGTAAAGCAAGTTTCCCCCACCTACTCTGTTCCTCACCTTAAGAACCACCCTTCTCTGCCCTGACTGGTGCGGCTCAATTGGTTGGAGCACCATCCCGTACACCAAAAGGCTATGGGTTTGATTCCCAATTGGGGTGTATGTGAAGACAACCATTCAATGTTTCTCTCTCCCCCCTTTCCCTCTCTCTAAAATCATTAAGTGCCTGGCCAGTGTGACTCAGTTGGTTTCTAGGTCAGGGCACATGCCTGGGTTGTGGGCTCAATCCCCAGTAGGGGGCATTCGAGAGGCGGCCAATCATTGTTTCTCTCAAATCAACTTAAGACTATATTTAAAAATAAAACCAATAAGCATGTCATCAGGTGAGGATCAGAAAAACAAAACAAACCCTGGCCAGCAGAAATTCTCATTGGATCGAAGGGTATCGGGTTCAATTCCTGATACCTGGGTTGCAGGTTCATTCTGAAGGTTTGGTCCCCAGCCTCCTTTGGGAGTGTGTACAGGCAACCAATCAATGTGTTTCTCTCACACTGATGCCCTCCCTCCCCTCCTCCACTCTCTCTTAAAAAAAAAAAAAAAAAAAAAATCAATGGGAAAAATACCCTCAGGTGAGGATTAACAAAACAACAAAAACCCCACCCTCAAGGTGCCAATGAGGCCATGGATGCCCCATCTAAGGTCTCAGGCTCCATGGGGTCCTGTTCAGCCAACACACACTCAATACCTTTCTGAATATTGTAGTCTGAGAGAGTACGGCCATCCTCTAGCTGTTTGCCCGCAAAAATCAGACGCTGTTGGTCAGGCGGGATGCCTGGGGATTGAGAAACTCAGTTATTGAGGCTCTGGTAAGCAGCCCTTCCCCTACAGGCCTTTCCCACCATTAACCACAATCTGTTGAAAGGGAAGCCCAGGTAGAGATAATAAGATGCCTTCCTGAAATTATGCACAGGAAACACTGGCAAGGCCTCAGCACCCAAACCTACTCCAACTTACCCTCCTTGTCTTGGATTTTAGCCTTGACATTCTCAATGGTGTCACTGGGCTCAACCTCAAGGGTGATGGTCTTGCCAGTCAGGGTCTTCACAAAGATCTGCATCTCTGCGTCTGCTGGGGAGGCTGGAACAAAGTAGTGAGTAATGCAGGCCCACCCCAGTGTCTGTTTCCTTCCATCCCTCCAAGCCTGCAGATACAATGAGAAGTACAGGACCAGGGCACCACTTGCCAGACACATTTCCCCCAAGTGTGATCTGGAGGTCCCATCAATACATCCTCCCTCCCTCCCCTTCACCAGCCCTTAGCCACACTTGCACAAAGTACCCTTCCTGCCGCTTGGGTGGGAATCCCATCTTAGTAGCCAACCCCAGACAGTTCTCCTCTCCAAGTCCAAGCTCAGACTGTGACTTCCTTCTCAGTTACCCCAAAATTTTTCAGACCACACCTCTTGCCTCTGCTCCAACCCATATCTGCCAACCGCGTGCCACAAACTTATTCAGACTTTTCTTTTTCATTAAAAGCAAAAACAAACAAAAACAAACAAAAATCTACAAGATAGACACTACTAGCCTCTCCTTACACATGTAGAAATCGGAAGTAATAGGTGAAGACCTTGACCGGGAGGGTGGGAAAGATTTAACACTTTGAATGTACACACAGTGCCTAGCACGGAGAAAAGTCACATGCTTAATATCCCACCCATTAACTCGGATCTGCCCCTAAGGTCCCATCCCCACCCCGAGGCCCCGTCGGATAGCTGAGGCCGGCGGCGCGGGCAAGCCATTCTCCAAAGGCCGGTTCGCTTCTCAGGGCCTAGTCGATGTCTAGAATCTCAGCCCAATACACCCTGCTACGCCGACCCGTATAGCCTGGCCTGCACTAACAGATTCGAGCCACCCCCTCCGCTGCCTCCTGCTCGACCCCCACCCGACACGAACTCACACAGACGCCACCACCGACCTGCTCTGCTGCCTCGTTGAAAAGAAAGAGGTCGTCGGAACCGGAAACCGCCGAGAGCGCCTGCGCACCGAGCACGCTGCACGCACGCGTCACAATTCGTGCAGCGCATCATGCCCCGCCCTGCCGCCATGTTGCGTGCTGGCGAACGAAGCCCCGGCGTCTGAGGGCAAGCGACGCTCCCCTGCTTCCGGGAGTGTGCTTCCGCCCCCGGGTCACTTGAATAGACTGTCACACTTGACCAGGTGTTTCCACCCACCGTCTCAGGGTCGGCTGAAGACTGGATCTTGCCGGCGCTTGAATAATTATTGGATGGAGTACTCTTTGTGCTAAATCAAAGGCATTAAGCAGAGAGTCTGCGGGTCCAGGAAGAGGGGGTGTGGCAGGGAAAGTAAAAGGAGGAGCAGGACCCCTGGGAGCCACCTAGGTACCTAACACCCAGAGGCAGTTATTCTAAAACTTCCTGGCGCCTGTGCGCTAATGGATTTCGGGAAGGTGTGCAGGGGAGCAGGGAGAACAGGTGGGACTGGTGCATCCACTAAGGAAAATGCCGGTGTGGCTCAATTGATTGAGCACTGTGCTGTGCAAGGAAGTCACCCCTTCAATCTGGTAAGGGCCTGTAGGGAGGCAACCGATTGATGTTTCTCCCTCTCTCCTTGTCTCTCTAAAATCAATTTTTAAAAGGTTATGTTTATATATATCATATATATATATATGAAAGAAAGTGGGGTGGGACCCAGGAGACTCCTGGATAGCTAAAAAGTGACGGGCGCGTGAAAGGTGAGGACCTAGAAGTTACTTGTGGGTTTGCCAGTGTTCCTCTCTATTTCCAGTGCGCCTATGGACCAGACAAAAGTAGACACTTTTAAGGTCTGGGAAGATGCATTTAATAACATAATTTGTAAGTGCTTCAAAGATTAAGGGACTCTGTGAGTTTTTAATGGGGAAGGGGACCCAGCCCATTTCCCTGAGGAGCCTACCCTTGCCTGAGATCTGGAGAAGGAGTTATTCAAGGAGGTAAGGCAGTGATTTTCAACCTGCAAGAATTTTTAAAACATGCAATTCCTGATTGTTTAATCAGGGGCACTGACCTCATTTCCCTTAGACTGTCAAATTAAAAAATGACAATAGCCACCCCGTTAAATGAGTCAAAATTATACCTATTTTTTGTCGTGCCACAGAATTTTAGTAATTAGTTTGTATCATGAGATGAAAAAAGGTTAAAAATTGCTGAGGTAAAGGAACAGTGTTGTGCCCTGACTGGTTTGGCTCAGCAGTTAGCGCGTCCATCCGCAGACTGAGAGTTCCAGTTTTGGTTCCTGCTAAGGGCACGTACCTCAGTTGGTGGTTGGTCCCTGGCCCCTGTTGGGGTCGTGCAGGTGGCAACCAGTCGATGTTTCTCTCTCTCTTCCTCCTGCTCTATCTAAAGATAAATGCAAAAATGTCCTCAGGTGAGGATAAAAAAAAAAAAGGAACAGTGTTGTGAGCAGTGGTTCTAGGATCTTGGGTTATTTAGGGCTGCCACCATCCGAGGCTCCCAAAAAGGGCAGCCACATCTTTCTTCCAGCTGAGCTCAGTGGTGCCTGGCTGTCTGCATCCTATCCTATCCCAACTTATCTCCATCCTGAGCTGATGGACCCAAGGATGCAAAGAAGCTACTGCCGGGTACACCCTTTTCTTTTTAGTCTTTTTATTGATAACTTCCCAACAGCATCTGTAAACATCGGATACAAAAATATTCTGTTAAATTCTGTTTTCCAAGGTGGCTCGGTTTCATGGAGGCCCTAGGAGAAGTCTGCAGGGCCCTCAGGGTTCACACCTCTGGTCAGAGAAATGTGGGCCTCATCACACTTGGGGCTGAGTGGATGGTCTTGAGCTTTCTACAGCTGTTTCAGAAACCTCCTTCAGATACTGATTGGAGAAAGTATTTAATACTTTCATTGGAGAAAGGGACAGGGAGACCAGAATTAGTAGTTGCAGGAGTAGGGTGGGGTGGGGTGAACTCAGACATGATAATGCTTATCCACCTTGAGGAGGTCCTGACTGGGGTGCTAAGACAGGAGACATCTGGCTTTTGTCTTTAGAAACCTTTAAGTGTTCAGAGTAGACATCAGACCTGGCTCTGGAAAAGATTCCTTGTGCCCAGTCCAAGAACTCCAGCTGGCAGCTCGTCTCCTGGCCTGACAGAGGGTCTTCAGGAGAGAGATACTTTCAGTGAGGAAGGAGTGAGAATGATAGATTTCCCGAATTCCACAACCCTGGGAAGGAGCCTTGTCCCCCAGGGTGCCCTGGATGACAGAATAAGTTGGCAAAGCTAAATGTCTCTAGGCAGGGTTATCCACTGCCACCTCAGACACCTGGAGAGCCCTGTGAGCCCTCAGAGGACCCAGAAAGAGGGCTACTGGCTCAGCATCTCCTTTTCATCTGTCTGGCTGTGGCCATTGATGGCAGGGGAGTCGGGCCGGACATGGGACAGGTCCTCGAAGCCAGGGCTGAGGGAGGGCGAGATGGTGTCTGGGCTGGTGTCACAGGAGCCTGTGCTCTGTTCCGAGGTGGCAATGGTGGTCGTGATGCTGGGTGGGATGGGGTCTTCATCGTCATCCTCTAGGAGGGATGCCTCTGGGACATCTGGGGGAAGGTGGTCCAGGAGTTGGCTTAGTCACTATGATGAGGGATTAACTGTGATCTTCTACTAGCAACACCCCCATGGGGCATGACTTCACTCATTTTACAGAAGAGGCAACTGAGGCCCAGGCAGGTGAGAGACCTCCCTTCAAAATGAGGTGAGGTAGGCACTCAGCTTTTCTGAGTCAGGCTGACATGGATCCTGGGGGCAAGCCTGAGCCTGGCTCTGCCCTCAACTGTCACCTGAGCCAGGCCCTTCACTTGCCCTTGCCTCAGCTCCTTGCTCAATAACTGGGGCTGATGACAGTGGCACTGCCTGTACCTCTGCTTTTCAGAAGCCACAGGGTGGGGAACTATTGGCCCATTCAGCACATGGGGTAAACTGAACATGTAAGGGAACATTGTGCTTCCTCGGATAAGTCGGTGCCCTTCGGGGCTTCAGTTTCACTGTATGCAATGGGGATACTCACAGTCCCCACTTCACAGGTGGTTATGGGTAACAGCCTGGTCATAAGTGTATGTGGCACTCACTGAGACACGGATTGATATTGTTCTTGTCCATTTTCCATCCTGTGACCTCCCCCAAGAGAGGGGACCCTGCTCCCAGCACCACTCCAAAGGCTGCTGAGAAGGCCAGTTTAGCACCCTCACCCCTACCCTAGGTCTCTCTGGGCCCACTGCCCACCAGCCCCTAAGGTGACCTTCTGAAAGCCAGCCCAGGGCTGAAGATGGTGGCATCCAAGGGTTGCAGAGACCAGAGGAGTACAGTAACCCTGGGTAACACTTACGGTTGAAGGCCTCTGGGTACTGCCTGGCCAGCTTCCCTTTCAGCGTCCTGCGGGGGAAGGGAAGGCACATAGGCTGAACTCTTTGAATAGATAGGCTGGGCACCATGCAGGCTAGCAACCCTTGCTGTCAGCTCTGGGTAGTTGGTGGTGGGAACCACCCCTTCACTGCTTGTCATACTGTGTTCCCAGGCTGGAGGGAGACCCAGGCACTCAGCCCTATAGAAACCCTACCTTTGGTGTGGGCACCCTCTGTGAGTCTGTGTGGGGGCCAGAATGAGGCCCAGTGAGCAGGTTGGGGGAGATGGAAAGTACTGGCTACCCACACCCTAAAACCCAGCAATCTGTTTTGCCTCTTGAAGGAAGACCTGGGCCAGGGTAGGGGTGGGCAGGAAGCTGGCATTTCACTGTTGGCTCTTTGCATTATGTGTCTAGTGCTATGTTGCATTTTTCAAAAGATAAATAAAATTTAAATACAGTAACTTCAGGATTTTTATCCCAGAGTTTCCTGGATGCTAAGTGCGTGATGAAGCCTTATAAAACAAGTGAGCTGGATCTCCCCGATAGTCTGTTATGTGGAGCTGGGAGCCCTATTAAAGAGGGCAAGACCTGCCTGGCTGGTGTGGCTCACTGGTTGAGTGTCGACCCATGCACCAAGAGATTGCCTGGTCAGGGCACATGCCCAGGTTGTGGGCCAAATCCCCAGTGGGGGGCATGCAGGAGGCGGCCAATTGATGTTCTCTCTCATCAATGTTTCTATCTCTCTCTCTCCCTCTTCCCAAAATCAATAAAGGAAAAAAAAAGTAAAGAAGGGAGGACCTGAGGCTTGGAGAGAGAGGCAGAGGCCAGTTGGCCTGAGTACCTACCTGATCCTGCGGAAGATGCTGTCCAGGTCCCGCTTCATCTCCATCAGGGTCCTCGTGTGGTGCAGGAAGCGCTCGCTCATCTGCTGCAGGCGGGTGCTTGATAGGTTGTTGAAGTTCACCAGCATCTCATTGGTCTTCTCAAAGCGGTCCAGCCTGGTGGCAGAGAGAGGTGCCAACGCCTCTGGTCAGCCTCCAGGGCTCTGCAACTGAGCATGCTAACCCCTTTCCTGTTCCATGATCTTTGCATGTGCCGTTTCCTTATCCTACAAAGCTCTACTTCATGATTGAATCACCTAGCAAACTAGTCTTCAACCTTCAAAACCCTACTCAAGTGTGCCCTTCTCATGTAGCCTTCACCCTCCCTCTCAGACCCCTGACTTCCCTAGCCCCAGGTTGTTTCTCTGGCCTAGCCCTGACACCACGGGGCCAGGAAGATTTGTGTCTGGTTTTGTCTCTCCTCATGCTAGGAATTCCCTAGGGCCAGGTCTGAATCTGACATAAAGAACTACTTGAAAGATGAGTATTGCTGATACCCAGATATACCCTGTCACAGGGCAAGAAGATAAGGGTGTCAGGTCCATGTTGTTTCATAAATGGCAGGAAAAACCTTTGGCTTAAAAACACAAAAATGAAGCCCCAGGAGGCTTTGCTTTCACCCCAGATTGTGTCAGCCCTTCACAGGTCAGATGAGAATTAGAATGGGGCTGTAGTGGCCATGGTGCCAAGCCCCGAGAGCAAAAGGGCATTCATGCCCCTCCAAGGGACCCCAGGTGCTCTGTAGACAGCCTTAGCTCTGAGACACCAGGCTCCCAACAGGAAGTCAGCCCACCAGCTCCCTTATATCCCCCAGCAGCCCCTTCCTATCCTCCCAACTCTTCCCACCCCAGGCCTTGGGACAGGAGCTGCTACAGGAGCTGCCAAGCCACCAGCAGCTACAAAACCATCCAAACCCGTTTCCTGTGCCAAGGCCTTACCTCCAAGTCATGAAAAAATTTACTTTGGAGTCAGCCAGCAGATTTGCTCATTTCCTTCACTTTGTCACCAGTGGGGGTGGGGGTAGTGGTGGGCAGGGCAAGAATGCTGGCCTGCAAAGTAGATTCTTTCCCATGCCTGGACCCAGGGCTCTTGACCACCACTCACATGTTCTTCTGGGCCAGGATGATGGCATTGACGTCATCCACGTTCACCATGCTCAGGATGCGGCTGCAGAAAACCCTCGAGGCCGAGTCCGGGGCGTCCATCTCTTCCTCCTCCTCCGCTGTCTAAAACAGGCAGAAGAAAGTCTTCAGTCTGCACCAGGCACTGGGGAAGATGGGACAGTGAGAAGGGGCTGGAAACTCCACATGCTGCTTGAAAGTGAGTTGGCCATGCCACCTGAGCCTTAGCGTTGTCATCCTGGGAATTTGGGGTTTTTGAGAACTCCAGGAGATCATATTTATAACTTGCATGCAAGTACATCAGAATCCCATCTCCACTCTCCAGAACCCACTCTTGATGTGCCCAAGGCCACTGGCACCTTCCATCTGCAAAGATCTGCCCGCCTCCTACCACCAAATTCCGCTGCCCTTCCCCACCTTTGCCTATTTTCACTTCAGGGCCTTTGCTTCTGCTGTCCCTACTGGCAGAACATGCATGGCTGCCCCCTCATATCATTACACCTCCAGGATCTTCTCTCCCAGGAAGTCCTTTATAACTACCCCTACTCTGGTCACTCTCATCACTTCAGTTTGTTTCTATTGCTTCACTGGTTCATCTCTGCCTGAAATTATTTTAGTTAGCTGACCTGTTTGCCTGTCATCCCACAGTGATATCAGCTCCAAGAGAGTCAAGGCATGTCTCTCTCCAGAGTGCAGCTAGAACCTGGCTCACAGCAAGGGATCACCAGAACTTCATCTAGCAGAGGCAAATGAGACCTTTCAAACTGTTCTGACGCTAGAATTTTAACAGCAAATTAAAGCCAAGAATTTCCGGCACTTGCAGCCAGGCTGTGGGCCCCAGAAACCCAGATGGCTTTGTGGCTTTCAGCTTCCCTGGCACACAGATAACTATATGAGTGGGTGGGGGCTTCCTGGATCAGGCCAGGGCAGAAAAGGCCACAGCTTTAACACTGATTCTCCTGGTGGGGGAGCTTCAGGAAGAACCCAGAATCATGAAATAGCTTGGTTCTGGGGCCCACACATTTAATGGCCAACAGAAAGGTCCACTTGCTATTGGTAAAAATTCACACACAGGATCAGGGAGGGCTTTCAGATCCCACTTACTCCATCTTCTTCTTTACTGAGCACTAACTTTAAGCAAAACAAGGTACCAACTTTACACATGGGAGCTGTTACCCTTATTTATATGTGAGAAAGCTGAAGCTCAGAGATTAAGGCACTCGGCCATTGTCACACAGCCAGTGAACCTGAGTCACAACTCAGATGCTCACAGTCCAAAGGATCTACAAAGGCATAAAACTGCGCAGGTGTTCAGTATCTACTCATGACAGCATAGCGGCTTCTTACAGCAGCTGCTTCCTGCCAGACTTCTGATTTTTTCCAGGAAAAAAAAATGGAAATAGGGATCTCCCCCTTGTGAATTACAAATCTTATCAAATAATACCCGCCCCCCCCCCAATTCCATGGAGGCCAAGAGTATCTGTGCCTTGAATCTGGCTAGCAGGTTGCAGCCCTTACCTGCCTCTGGAAATAAGCTACCACACCTGGTGAAATCCTGCCTCCCTGCCAATAATCATTGTTTATTGAGCTCCCACTATGTGCCAGGTATAGGCATCCACAATTTCCACATTTCAAAAACATGATCATGTATGAAGAAGATAGTTGGGCTCAAAGGGCAAAGCCATGTAGTGGGAAGTCCATAGCTAAAGTCTGGCAGGCACAGGATTTGGACCTACAGGAAATGGTTCTGCTTCAAAGTAGGGTTCTTTCCTGTCTCTGGCTCCCAGATGTGAGGGATTCAAGGCATACCCTTCCATTCCCAGCTGCCTCTCTCAGGAAGGCTTCCCTGACTAACAGTTAGTCTGGGCCCCATAAGGGTAGAAATAACCCAACAAGGGCCCTGGGCCCTGCTCCAAATATATTTATGAGGAAAACATGCAGAGAGGGAGACTGTGTGATCTTGGGAGTGTGAACTAACCTCCCTGAATCAGTTTTCTTATCCAGAAAACGGTAATAACAAAGAATCAGAATCTCCCAGTGCTGTCTCTGGGGGCGGAAACCAACATTGATAAGCTGAACTCTGAGCAGGCTGTTTCTTCAAGGGGAGTGTAAAGAAGTCCTAGGACGGGTGTGGGAATTACGATTTTGAGGAGGGCCTCCCCAGTGCTTCCAAAATTTTTAGTAAACTTAACCCCAATTACCCCTACAAGACAGACACTATCATTCCTCCCCGAGGGCAGCTAAGGCTCACAGGAGAGGGCTCCGTCGCCCAAGGTCAAAGGCCAGAAGTAGAGGTGCCCTAATTGCACCCAGGCCATTTAACAAAATAAGTTGGCAGCCCATGCTTAGCAAAACCCCGGAGTGGGGGCGAGGACCGCATATCCCCTCGCGCCCCACCCCTGCAAAGCGGGGAAACTGAGGCCCAGGCAGGGCAACGCCCGATTCCGGGTGACACTGCACAGTCTGAACACAGGCGGCCCCAGCTCCCGCACCCCGGACCCGGAACCATTGAACAGACAGAGAAACTGAGGCCTGTGTACAGGAGGGGTGCCTAGATGTGTCCAATGGCACGCCCCACCCCGCGACTGCCCAGGGGCCGCGCCCAACCTGGCCTGGCTCCCCAGCGGTCCCGGCGGCCCCGGCCCCACCCCGAACTCGGCCCCGGCGTCGGTGGCAGCGGCACCTGCACATCTGGCGGCCTTGCTCGCGCTTCCGGGATGGCGCCCGCGTCTTCGTGACGTCACCACGCACCATGCGTACGAGCTCGCAAGGCGGTGACAAGCCCCGGACCGACTTGCGTACGTGGAGGCGCGGCAGGAAGGGGTGTGGCCTATACGCAGCTCCTGTTAGCTTGTGCGTCACAACGCATAGCCAATCAAGCAGTCCTTACCACCCTGAAGTAGCTTCCAAGCCCGAGCTCCAAGGCAGAGCGGAAGGGGGTGGAGGAGCCTGGAAGACATTGCATTTTATAGATGGTAAGACAGATCTGGGAGCGGCAGGCAATCCCTCAAGGTCACAATGTTCAAGTGGCTTGTGGTCGACCCAGACCTAGGTATCCTGCTTTCCAGGCTGGGAACCAGACTCATCTGGGTTCAAAAATCTCTGCTTTGCTTTTGCTGACATTTTTCTGGTCCAGGATCCCATTTAGTTACATCTTTTTATACTCCTCCACTCTGCCAGTTCCTCAGTCTTTCCTTATCTTTCATGACCTTAATACTTCTGAAGAGGTTTTTGTAGAGTACCTATCAATATAGGTTTATCCATTGTTTCCTCAGGATTAGACTGAAGTTAAGGAGTTTGGGCAGGATCTCATACAAGTGACGTTGTGTCCTGGATACATCATGTCAGGAGGTACGGCATTTTGACTGATTACTTGCAGTGCCTTGACAGTTTCTCAACTCTCAAGTTACTGTTTTAGCCTTTGCAATTAGTAAGTATCTTATAGAGAGATACTAAGAGATCATGCAAATACCCTAGGTTGCTTTTTTATTTTATTTATTTAGTTTTAATATATTTTTATTGATTTTTTTAGAGAGTGGAAGTCAAGAGAGAGAGAAACATCAATGTGAGAGAGATGGGTGCCTCCTGCATGCTCCTTACTGGAGATGGAGCCCACAACCTGGACATGTGCCCTGACTGGGAATGGAACCGGGACCTCTCAGTCCATCTGGGACCTCTCAGTCCACCGGATGGTGCTCAACCCACTAGCCACATCAGCTGGGCCCCTAGATTGCTTTTTAAAAAAACATTTTATAAGACATTTTTCACCTACTAGTTATAGCATCTGTCCGTGGCTCTTGCTGGCAACTATTATTACTATGATGTTTGTGTAATGGTGATTTTTCTGTTTTTTTTTTTTTAATTTGAATTTTATTGTAAATAAGAGCTGTCCATTCCCCAGTTATGTATTTAGTCACATATTTATATCACTATGAACTAATGAATGTTTTTTATTCTACATGTTATAATTAATTTCTACATTATTTATTTTGCTGCTCCTTTAAGTTAGCTCCTATGTCCTTTTAATATGTCCATCTTTCTCTGAGCACTTTCTTACTTCTTCCTTGCTTGCTTTGGAATATCCTTGGAATCAGCCATTTCTCTAAGGACCCCGGTTCCTTTTTTCTTTTTTTAAATCCTCACCCGAGGATATTTTTCCATTTATTTTCAGACAGACTGGGAGGGAGAGAGACAAACATCGATGTGAGAGAGACATATCGATTGATTGCCTCCCACAGGACCCCCGATCGGGGCCGGGGACCGAACTGCAATTGAGGTACGTGTCCTTGACATGACCCAGGACTCTGGTTATTGGGCCGACTCTCTAACTGCTGAACCAAACCAGTCAGGACAACCTAGTTCTTTTTCTTGGAGACTGGTATTTAGAAACCAAGCCCTGAGTGCTGGGTGTGCTCACTGCTTAGAGAGACCCTCTCAGCTGTCAGTTAGATTTGTATATCTACTGCGGCATTTACTACTATATCTGTTCCCTTGTATATATACTGACAATCATGAGCAAGATGGGGCAAATAGTAATTGTTCAATAAATGTTAACAATTCGTTATCAGCCCTGGCTGGTTTGGCTCAGCGGTTAGAGTGTTGGCCTGTGGTCTGCAGAGACCCTGGTTCGGTTCCCGCTAAGGGCACGTACCTCGGTTGCAGTTTGTCCCTAGCCCTGGTTGGGTTGTGTGGCTGGCAACCACTTGATGTGCCCTTTCTTTCTCTCTCTCCCTCCCACTCTATCTGAACAAAATATCGAAAAATGTCCTCGGGTGAGGATTAAAAAAGAAGTTGCTTGTTACATAAGCATTTGCTGAAACTTGCAAAAAAAAACAAAAAAAAAACCAACAAACCCAATTCGTTATCATTAACTGAGGACTTACAATGTGTGTATGTTATAATGTTTCTCATTCTCAGTTTGTTAACTGTGAACTGGGTGATTATAGCATCTGCCTCTTAAGGTTGTTGAAAGCTTTGGAGATAGACACATAGGTGACATAGGTGACTCTTTAAGAGCCTGGAATTAGATATATCTGAGATCTGATTTCCAATTCTGTCACATCTTAGTTGGATGGCCTTGGGCAGGTGGCTTAACCTTATGAAATCATGCACATAAGTTCCTTACAACGAGCTTGGCCCACTCACTGTAAGCCCTCTGTAAACAATATTATTACCCCCACACTCTGCTGCCTTCATTCACTGAAAAGTTAATGATGACCAGGACTCTTACATATTTAGTTTAACAAACTGTTTTAAAAATTGTTCAGTGAACCTGCTAGCCACCCCCTCTCCATGTGGCCCATATTCTGGAGATCCAGAGTACTCACTCAGTCCTTGCCTAGCCCTGGAGGACAAAGGGAGACAGAGTCTGACACAGACTCCCATTCCTGAATGCCACAGTTCTGGGCTAGAGGGAGGAGAGACTCAAGGTTGGAGGAATCAGAAGAGTGGGGTCCATTTTGGATACAAGGAAGCAAGTATATCTGGATGGGATTTTGAGATAGGATTAGGAATTTTCTAGGTGCTGACATTCATTCAGGGCCAAGGGAATCACAGGAGCAAAGGGCACCATGGTGGGAAAGCACAAAGGACTTGATCTTTGTAAGATTTGTGGAACTTAGTGAGCCAGTCAGCAGCCAGTGAGAGCAGGCTATAACAGAAGAGACCCACTGGATACATCAAGCTTTTCATTGGGTCTGTTGGTCTCTGTTAGAGGCCAGGAAACATTTATGAGGGTCCTGGAAGGGGATGGGACTGTACATTGAAGCCAAAGGGGAGTTGGCCAGTCCCAAATGTTTTGTGAACAGTGGAATGGGAACAAAAATATTTTCCTTCTTTGTGCATTTGAGGGAGAAGGTGGGAAGTGAATGAAACAGCCCAGTGATGGGGACATTGGTGGTGGGAAGGCCTAAGTCTGGGTACTAGAAGCCTTTCTTGGCCACTTTTTTCAGTTTTATTTCCTATGTAGCACTCATCACCGCTGAAGTGAGATATTTATTTACACTATTGCTTGTGCAGTATTCAGCTCTCTGGCTGGAATAGAAAGCCAGTCGGGGAAGAGACTTGGCCCATTGTGCTCTTCATTACTGTTATCTTGAAAAGTAATTAAGTTCTCTGTGCCTTAGTTTCTCCACTTGTAGAATGAGAATAATGAGTCTTACCAAAATACATGTACCCAATCCTGAAGAAGGCAAGAGAAAGAAAAGGAGCATAAAGAAAGTATGACTGCCCGGCCGGTGTGGCTCAGTGGTTGAGCGTCGACCCATGCACCAAGAGGTCGCTGGTTTGATTCCTGGTCAGGGCACATACCCAGGTTGTGAGCCAAATCCCCAGTGGGGGGTATGCAGGAGGCTGCCAATGTATGTTCTCTCTCAGATGTTTCTCTCTCTCCTTCTCCCTTCTCTTTCTAAAATCAATAAAGTAGGAAAAGAAAAAAAGGTGTGACAGAGAAGAAGCACATGAGAAGGCAGATTAAGTCCAAATACGTCCGTAACTATATTAAATGTAAAGAGACCAAATACCCCAATTGAAAGATAAAGATGGGCAGACTGGATTAAAGAACAAAACCTGGTGCTATACTGCTTACAAAATACACATGCACAACATAAGGATACAGAAAAATGGAAGAGGTAGAAAAGGATGGAGCATTTAAAACATGAACCAAGAGAACAGGTGTGCAATCTTTTTTTTTTTTATCCTCACCCGAAGACATTTTTCCATTATTTTGTTCAGATAGAGTGGGAGGGGGAGAGAGAGAGAGAGAGAAACATCGATGTGAAAGGGACACGTTGAATGGTTGCCACCCGTACAACCCAACCAGGGCCAGGGACAAACTGCAACTGAGGTACGTGTCCTTAGCGGGAACCGAACCCGGGTCTCTCTGGACCACAGGCTGATGCTCTAACCGCTGAGCCAAACTGGCCAGGGCCAGGTGTACAATCTTAATATCAGACAAAATCCACTCAAAGGCAAGAAACATGGAGTTAGCAAGGACACATCACAATAATCACAAGTTATTTTCACCAGGAAAATAAGAAATTGCACCCGGCTGGTGTGGTTGAGCATTGACCTATGCACCAGGAGGTCACTGGTTTGATTCCCAGTCAGGGAACATGCCCAGGTTGTGGGCCCAATCCCCAGTGGGGGGTATGCAGGAGGCGGCCAATTGATGCTCTCTCTCATTGATGTTTTTCTCTCTCCCTCTCCCTTCCTCTCTCTCTAAAAACTAATAAAGAAAAAAAATATGAAGATTGCAACTCCGTGCAGCCAATGACGTGGATTCCAAATATCAGAGTATTTGTTTCATAAGGCTAATATGAGGATTAAATACATGTTGAGTGTTTGCATACACCCGTGATACCTGAGTGTCAGTCATTATTATAATAGTTGGTGTTATTAGTTTGTATTTATTTTAGTTGTTCATGTATTAGTATTGTTTGCTACAGTTCCTCCAGTCCCTGTGACAGAGGTGGGGCTGGATGGGTGATTCCACCTTACAGATAAAAACATTGAGGTTCAGAGATGGACAGGGCTGTGACTGGCCCAGTGTTTATTTTATATTCTTTCCAGGCAGTTTCTCACATATCCCTGCTGCCCTCCCACCTCTTCTGGCTGTCCAGCCTGCTTCTTTCCTTCCACAGTGATTTTTCCCTAAGTCCCCTCACCCCCAACCTTTTGTATCAGGCACTGTGTAGGTCTCAGGACTAAAAAAATGAGAAACCACAGGCCCTTCCCAGACTTTGGGGGTCATCCAACTAGTGGTGAGGCAAAGGTCCTAAGGCCAAATGATGGCACACACAGAAGTCAGTTATAAAGTGGAGGTTCAGCATGCTAGAAGAACAGCCAGTTGCGGCATCTGGCCTTGTCTTTGGGAGGTCTGGGAGGGTTTCCTGTAGGAGGTGACCTCCAAGCTCTGATCTAACAAGTTTATTACCACCCAAAGCCAGTGTCTCATTTATTTAATTATTCGTTAACGGTGCTAGTCATTTTTAAAGGAGATTGGGACCAAATAAGCAAAATTCTTTACAGGAAGGAGCAGATATGGGTGAGGGGGTCAGAAACAAAAGAACAAACAAGGTCATTCTGAAAGGGGGTAAGGAAAGGAAAAAAAAATAGAGGAAGGAGGAGTAAGTGCCCCTCCTTTCAAAACAAGATCCATAAAAACCCTTCTAATCGAGGCAGCCACCTTCTACCGGGGCAGTGGGCACCTTATCACCAAATGGCAGAGGGTGCAGGGAGGAGGAACTACCCCTAGGTGTCCTGTTCACTCAGTCGCTCACCTAGACATTTCTGAGCAACTCGGGTATGCACCAGGCAGCCTTCCGGGTATTAGATCACGCAGGGTAGTGCAGGTTCTCTGTACCCTTGGGCACGTCTCTCCCCGTCGGGACTTCGTGTCTACATCCGTAACGAGGACTTAAGGGTGTGTTTTCCAGAACTCCTTAAGGAAATGCCATTTAATGTTGTCCTCCCAACAGCCCCCAAGGTGAAAGTACATGGATTAGGGTATTCATCCCCATTTCGCAGTTGGACGGTATGAAGCTCAGACCCGAGCAGTGAATCGCGCAAGCAGCACACGGCGCTGACCCGCGAATGGACTAGTTTAGAGCCAGGTGCCTCCGCCCCCGCCCGGTCGCGCAGTGGCCTCTGCCCCTTTAAGAACGCTTCGTAGATACAAGCAGGAAGGGGGCGGTGTCTGCAAGCGAGACGGACGTGCGCTTGGGCCAATGGGCGCTGTAGTCTCGGCAACGGTGGCCAATAGGCGCGGTAGGGGCGGGGCCGGGCGCCGGAGCCTAGTTCCCGAGGCGAGGCGGCCGCGGCTGGGGGCGGGGAGGGGGGCGCAGGACCCCAAGCGGGGGTCCCGGAGCCGGAGGCACGTGTCCCGGGGTGCTGGCAGGGCCTCGCTGGCCGGGCCCAGGCCAGTCGGGACCGGCACAGCGGGGGCTGCAGCCGATGGGCGGGGCGAAGGGCCGCGGGGGAGGCGAGCCGGGGTGTGCTGGGGGTCGGAGTGCCCGAGGGGGCGCGGCCAGGCGGGGGCAGCGGTGGTGGGGGCCCAGAAGGTCCGTAGAGTGCGAGGGGGGCTCTGCTGGCAGAGACATGCAGGGCCCGGAGCACTTGAGGGGTTCGGGGGGTCGAGGACTCAGCCTGGTGGCGTCAAACAAGCGTGGGGCGTTGGGGGCCTGGGTGAGGGGCTGACGGAGGGCCAGGCCCGGGCGGGGGGCGTTTGGAGGGCGTAGGGTGTTATGGGATCAGGAGGGGATGCATCTGGGAACATCAGGATGTTTGCGGGATGATAGGACGGCTGTTGGGGCAGGTGGCCCGGGCTGGAAGCGGTGGTTGGGGTAGGGTTAGAGATCTGTGCGAGCATAGTGGATTGTGGGGGTAGGGGCTGGAAGGGTCTCAGAAAAGGGGGGCCCATGCACGGACGAAGCAGGCAGGTCAGGGTTGGGGAGGGATAAAGGATGCTGTGGGTTAGAATGACGGCTTACCACCTCCAAGCTTGGGGCCTGGAGGAGGGGAGCAGTCCTTGATGGCCTAAGGAAGAGGTTGTGGAGTTCGGTGGGGAGCACCACTCCTGTGAAGAAGGCTACTTTGGGAGGGTAGTCAGGAAGTCTCAGGAGAGGAGAAACAGCTCCCAGGAAGAGTTTCAGCCGGGGCCTCTGGTATGGTTTAGGTTCAGTGTATGGAAGAAAAAGGCTTGGGGTTTCTGGGTGGTGGGAATTTAGCAAGGGCTCCACTTAGGAGAAGGTGCAGCTGGAGATGGGGAGTCCTGGTAAAGATTCAGTTCTCCTCCTGGGCTTTAAAAATAGTCTCCCCAAGATCTCAGGGATTGTCCACCTAAAAACCACCCATCATCTCCTCTGGGCATTTAATCAGATAAAGCCCCAGGTTCAAAACCTGTCCCTGCAGTTGGCTTGCTCTGTGACCTTGGGTAAATAGCTCTGCTTCTTTGGGCTTCAATTTCCTTTTCTGCAAAATGTGGGGGATGTTTTGTACTTTTTGGGGTGTTCATAAGTATTAAATATTGTTTAGCTCTAATAATAGCAAACTATTTCAACCTGATGCTCAGGGCTTGATGCTTGGGTCCTTAAAGTCTCTGGACAAGCCAGGGTTGTTGCTCTACCCCCTGTACAGGTGAGGAAACTGGCCTGGAGCCCCTGAATCACGTAGCAAGTGACCCACAGTGTGGAGAATGGATGTACAGGAGGATTTGAGGGGCTGGGTGGGATTCTTATCCCCATTTATTCCCCCCACCAGGGCCAGTTCCCATCCCCCCAGCAGCATGGCATCCTGTGCTGAGCCCTCTGCCATGGGCCCTGAGCCCGCGGCCCCACCACTTGCTGGGATCCCACCGCTTGAGGACTTCGAAGTGCTGGATGGGGTGGAAGATGCAGAGGGCGAGGAGGAAGAGGAGGAGAACCTGAGCGAGGTGCGACCACTAGAGGACATAGGACAACCCCCACTGGAGGAAACCGAACAGCCAGGGGCTCTGGCCCGAGAGTTCCTGGCTGCCATGGAGCCTGAGCCCGAGCCTGTTCCTGTCCCGGACGAGTGGCTGGATATCCTGGGTAAGGTGCAGGGGTGGCTTGGGTTGACCCACAGGGTACAGACAGCTACAGTTCAGGAATGACCTTGGCCCAAGCCTTCTCCTCCCCTGAGCCTCATTTCCCCACCTCTGCCATGAAGTAGGTTGGAAGTAAAACATGTGGTAACCACGGTGATTGCCAGACACAGGCAACTGCTTGAAATGTTTCATACCTATGAAGCTCTTTCATATTTTCTCTCTCTTTCACACACACACACACACACACACACACACACCCCAGTTCAGAGAGGCTGAATCACTCGTTCAGGAGCCACACAGCCAGCATGCCAGGCGCCAGCAGCTCCCAATCTCCACTGCTTCTTTTCTTGGCATTTGTCTGACAAGTGCCCATTCCCTGGAACATGTGTCCCGAGATCACATAGACTTTGGGAACATCCCAGTTTGTTGTTTATTCCTCTTTCTGGTTCATGGTATTAATTAATGTTCTAATTGCTTAGAGAAGTCCTACAAGAAAGGACTTGGGGAATCCTGTTCCCACCATGGACCCCATCACAGCAACTCTGGAAGCCAGAGAAATGTATTGCTACTAGTATTGCTATTCGATATATTAAATAATGCCAGTACCACACAAATAATAGTAAAACATTATTGTTACTACTATCATTTATATTGATACCAAAACAATAGTGTAAAACAATACTAATACTGCTCTGGCCGGTGTGGCTCAGCCAGTTAGAGCATCGGCCAGCAGACCAAAGAGTTGCAGGTTTGATTCTGGTCAAAGGCACATACCTTGGTTGCAGGTCGTTCCCTGGCCCTGGTCTGGGTGTGCGGGAGGCAACCAAGTGATGTGTCTCTCTCACATTGATATTTCTCTTTCTCTCTCTCTCTCTCACCCTCCCACTCTATCTGAAGATTAAAAAAATAATAATACTGATAGAACAGCTTTGTTATTAATGTTACTTTTACTGCTGATAAAAACGTTACTACTTCTAAAAATAATACCAGGTAATACTGACTGCCCACTGGTTCTGTGCCAGTGCAACATCTTACTTTATCCTCACAACAACTCTGTGATGTAATTTTTACCATTCCCACATTTTACAGATGGGGAAACCGAGGCTCAGGTGAGGGTACTTTCCCAAGGTTACACAACCTCCTTGGCTACATTAGCGTCTGGGAAGCTTCTCTCTACTGATACTAGGAGCTGCACTACTCCTCCTCTGAGCAGGAGGCTGGCTCTGTTCATTTATATTCACAATCAGCTTCGTTCTGAGGTTAGAATTCAGGCTTCTAGACAAAGAAACTAAGGCCTTGAGAGGGGATGTGATTTGCCCAAAGTTCCCCCAATGAGATGCAGTGCTTTATTGTGACACTGTCAGCACATCCACCATTAGTACTCTGAAAACTTAAAAGACACCGACTTCCCTAAGATCTACTAGATCAGTGGTTCTTAGGCCAGATGTGCAAGTTGGGGAGCAGCACACAAATTTGGGACATTAGAGAATATTCCAGAATATGAATAGATATTTCCCCGTCCCTAATCTTTAGACTAGGATCTACTCAGACTTATAGTATATTTCAGACTAATGATATATTACAGACTACTGGGACATTGAAGCCCAGAGGTGTGGGGTCACCTGCCCAATAAGTGGCAGAGTAGCCTCTCGAAGCTCAGCTAATGCCTTGTGCTGGGCCATTCCCAGGATGGGTGGAGCTGATGAGGGTTGGGGGGAAAGGGGCTTGGAGAGAGGTGCCCATCTGAGCCACCTGGTGACAGGCTGCTTGTCCCTGGTCCCTGGCAGGGAATGGGCTGTTGAGGAAGAAGACGCTGGTCCCAGGCCCACCTGGCTCAAGCCGTCCAGCCAAGGGCCAGGTGGTCACAGTGCAACTGCAGACGTCACTGGAGAATGGCACACGAGTGCAGGAGGAACCAGAACTGGTGTTCACCCTGGGTGACTGTGATGTCATCCAGGTGGGAGTGGGTTAGGGTCCGGGCAGGGTGGGGTGGGGCAGAGGTGGAATGGAGGAAGTGATAGAGGTGGAGGTGTTGAGGGCTGGGTGGGTGGGGGGCAGGCTACATCTAGACCCAGCTGACTCTCAAACCTTTGCACACCCAGGCCCTGGATCTCAGCGTCCCACTCATGGATGTGGGGGAGACGGCCATGGTCACTGCTGATTCCAAGTACTGCTATGGCCCCCAGGGCAGGTGAGAACCTGCCACTGCAGGAGTCCCTATTTGGGTAGGGAGGAAGTAGGTAAGGGACTCACCAAGTCATAGCTCAAGGGTGGCAAGAGTAACTTGCCTTGTGTTTTACTGAGTAGGGCCAGCTCCAGGACTTGAGTCCTTTCCTGCCTGCTCCTAAGCTTGCCCAATGTATCTGGGATGCCATCATGGTGGCTGCCAGGTCTGAGTACTGCCCCCGCTCCCCCCAGCAGGAGCCCATACATCCCCCCTCATGCAGCCCTGTGCCTGGAGGTAACCCTGAAGACAGCTGTTGATGGACCTGACCTGGAGATGCTCACAGGACAGGAACGTGTGGCACTGGCCAACCGGAAGCGGGAGTGCGGCAATGCTCACTACCAGCGGGCTGACTTCGTGTTGGCTGCCAACTCCTATGACCTTGCCATCAAGGCCATCACCTCCAGCGCCAAAGGTGATCACCTGGTGAAATACCCCCACCCTCCCTGTAAAGGTGTCTACTAGTGCCAGAAACCTCAAGTCACAGAGGGCCTGAGACCCAGAGTATTGTAGAATATTCCAGAATATGGGTAGATGCTGTTCCTAACCTTTAGGCTAGGGCCCATTCCAGCCCTGTGGGATGTCACAAGACACAGGTATATGTGGGGGTGTGGGTGACTGCAGATGGTGTCACTCCACGTGCCTGTGGTTAAGCCTCTGCTTCACTTAGGCTCCGTTTTGTAGACTCCTTGGCAGTTCCGTGAGGACGGAGCAGTCTTGGCCTGTGTTAGAGATGGGGAGACTGAAGCCAGGGAGGAGGCCTCAGGTCCCCTGAGGAACAGCTTCTCATGACTGGGACCCTTCCCTAGTCTCCTCTTCCACCAGGTGCAGAGGGCTGGGCCTTGGCCCAGGTCGTGTGGTGGGCAGGTGATTGTGGGGCTTGTAGGTGGTAACGGCTGCCATGGTTGAACACTGTCCTCCCACAGTGGACATGACATTTGAGGAGGAGGAGCAGCTCCTGCAGCTGAAGGTGAAGTGTCTGAACAACCTGGCAGCCTCGCAGCTGAAGCTAGACCACTACCGGGCTGCACTGCGCTCCTGTAGCCTCGTGCTTGAGCACCAACCTGACAACATCAAGGCACTCTTCCGCAAGGGCAAGGTGGGCCATGGGTGGGTGGGCCACAGGCACAGGTGGCAGGCTGGCTTTCCCAGCCCAGAGCAGTGGGACTGGTCCTGAATCCAGGTTTTGAAAAGAGCATACGCCTTATTCAGCTAAGCTCTCTGGGGTACAGATAGAGAAACTAAGGCCCAGACAGGTGCAGAGGTGTGACTGAATGAGCAATTCATTGACTAAGCCAGACATGAACCCAAGCCTTAGGCTCCCTGTTGCCCAATGGTGACTGCCCATTATATACAGACCTCCATGGCTCCCATCTCCAGAATAAAAGCCAAGTTTTCATTGCAGTCCTTGCAACTTTGAGCCATCTGAGTCATCACCTTACACCCCACATCTTGCTTCTCTCCATCCTGTTCAGCCTCCTTACCCCCAATGCTTTTGCATAGGCATTTCCCTCTGCCTGAGACATTCATACCCTAGGTACCCCCATGGGTTCTTTCCTTGCCTTTTTTTTGTTGTTGTTGTTGATATTTTGTTCAGATAGAGTGGGAGGGAGAGAGAGAGAGAGAAACATCAACGTGAAAGGGACACATTGAGTGGTTGCCACCTGCACGACCCAACCAGGGCCGGGGACAAACTGCAACCAAGGTATGTGCCCTTAGCGGGAACCGAACCCGGGTCTCTTCGGACCGCAGGCTGACGCTCTAACCGCTGAACCAAACTGGCCAGGGCTTTTTTTTTTTTAATATGTTTTTTATTGATTTTTTAAAGAGAGAGAGATTGAAACATTGATTGGCTTCCTCCTGCATGTTCCCTACTGGGACTCAAGCCTGCAACCGGGGCATGTGCCTTGACTGGGAATTGATCCGGGACCTCTCAGTCCATAGGACAATGCTCAATCCACTAAGCCGCACCAGCTGGGCTTTTCCTTGCCTTCTTAAGATCTTTGCTCTCATGTTATCTCTTTGGGCAGCCCTCCCTGCTGCTTCCCCGCCCCCCGCCAACTCCCTCCCATCTTCATATTTCTCATGTTGCACTTGAAGGTGTCAGAACTCTTGTCCATATCCTCTGCTAGGAGGTGGGGATTTCGTCTCACTCACTGACAAATCCCTAACTGTGCAAAGAGGGTCGGGCACATTGTAGGTGCTGGTGGAATATAGGAGAGAATTTGGCCAGCGTGGACTTGACCTTAATTGTTTTTGTCTCCATCTGTTCATCCTGACAGCAACCCTGGATGGGGAATAACAGGGAGATTTTTCAGCGCCTTTTAGCAGTAAACTGAGAAAACTGAGGTTCAAACAAGCACTGGGTCACCTAGTGTGTTTGTGAGAGACCTGAGCAGGTCCTCTCTCTAAGTAGCATTTTTTAAGCACTTGCTGTGTGTAGAGTTCTGCCCAGAAATGTGGAGAGGAAGACAATGTTATTCCTATTTTTCAAGGGTTTATAATCCTCTTGTGGGGCATAGGACTGTGCTTGTGTAGCTCACACGTTTGGATTTGCTGGTTGGAGGTGACAGGAACCCACTCAAACAGATTTGAGCAAAAGGAGGAATTGATGGTTTATAACACTGCCAAGTCTGGGGTGGCTGGGTTCAGGCAGGGCTGGATCTAGGCAATAGCAATGTTGTGGGAATGCTGTCTGTCTGCTGTGAGTTCCCCTCAGGCAGGCTCTTCTCTTGGGAGTAACCAAGATGCTCCCTCCTGCCCCCCAAAAGCTCCAGGCTTACATCCTTGCTAGTTAACTGGCTTCCCAATGGCATCAGCATATTTTAGGCTGGATCTCATTAGCTGGCTTGAGTCACATGCTGGTTCTGAATCATTCACTTTGGAAATGTCCAGTTAAGGTGGTGAGGGAGGAGTAGATGAAGAGGGTGAACAGGTCTCTTATATAGACCGAGACAGACACTTAGGGAAGGAGAGGTTGGGGGAACAACACTGAATACAGTGGGACACTCTTACAGTCTGAGGGCTCAGGGGAGCAGCATGGGATGACTGTTTCCTTAAGGATAGATTTGAGACTTGTCTCAGTGGCTAGGTGCCTGGTGGGCTGGGTTTCATGAAAGAAAGCATGGCCTAGTGTGGGTCCAGAGTGATGTCACCTACTTCCTCTCACAGGTGCTGGCCCAGCAAGGGGAGTACAGCGAGGCCATCCCTATCCTGAGGGCGGCCCTGAAGCTGGAACCGTCCAACAAGGTGAGCAGAATGGAGGTGCTTTGGGGACTTACCCTACGGCTTGTCTGAGAAGTCCCTCCTATCATCTGCCCTTTGTCCTTGCTGTGGCTTTCCCTGTTGTGTTTCTACTTGGGCAGGGGTAGGTGGCTGAAGGGCCCCAGCCAGCTTAGCCAGTGCCAATGTCCTGAGCTTTCCTTCCAGAACCTTGTGCTCTGCTCCATTCATGGGCTCCCTAGAGGCATGGAGATGACAGTCCCCACTTTGATGATGCCCAAAGAAGGGCAGATGGAACCCTCATGTTCCAGTGGTCCCAGTCCCAGAGTGATCCAGGGCACCAGAAAGGCAGAGCACCAGTGATGGTGGTCATGTTGGCTGCTGCCTCAGCATGTTCTTAGCCCAACTGCCACCCACTTCTCCCAGACGATCCACGCGGAGCTCTCGAAGCTAGTGAAAAAGCACGCGGCCCAGCGGAGCACGGAGACTGCCCTGTACCGGAAAATGCTAGGCAACCCTACCCGGCTGCCTGCCAAGTGTCCTGGCAAGGGTGCCTGGGTGAGCTGGGGTCAGTGGGCAGGGAGGCTCTTTTCAGAGGAGTAGGGTAGGCTATGTAAAGGCAGTGTCTTCATTTTGTAAACACTGATGTCCTTGTCCCTTGGCCTGTGCTGGACCATGCTGGGGACACAGGCCCTAGCCCTGTGTGACCAGGGTCAAAGCAGAAGGCAGAACATCATCTGTAGTGTTTAGGGTGGGGAGTGATGGCTGTTCCAGAGGGGAAGGGGAGGTATCCCAGAGGAGGGGAGATTTGGCTTAAGTTTTGATGCACGTGTAGGAGTTTGTCAGGAAGCAGGAAATGCATGCTTAGCCAGTGGCTTGCTACAAGGCCCGTGTGGGCTGTGTTGGTACCTGAGGCCCAAGATACCAGTCTTGACTGCCCTCCAGCCTCCTCCCTCCCCTTTATCTACAGTCCATCCCATGGAAGTGGCTGTTTGGAGCAACTGCTGTTGCCCTGGGGGGCGTGGCTCTCTCTGTGGTCATCGCTGCCAGGAACTGACTGCCCAGGTGGCCGCTACCCCTTCTAAGCACCGTGGACCCCACCCCAAGCTCCCTAATCTCCCAAGCTCCTCCCTGTCCACTACCCTTTCTGACCCAGTCTCCTTCTCTGGGGCAGGGACAGTGAGGTTTGAGGGTCCTGTGGCCCAATGAGCAGGAGGGACTGAGGCCCTATAGGAGAAAAATGAAGCAGGCCCCAGGCCCCATGTCCAGCTGGGAAGGGGGGGGCCCTTATTCCTCCAGACCCAATTCCTACCCCCTACTCCCCTTGGGTTAGGTCTCAACTGGGGCCTGCCTCTGTTTCTCCTTTCCAAGGCCTGAGGGCAGCCCTTCCCTCATCCAGTCCCTGTCCAATTGTCAGCCCCTCCTACCTAGCTGCCCTCTGTCCAGACTCCCTCCCCACTACCCCCAAGTGAAATAAAGCCTCCCATCCCGCGTTCTGCTGGCTTGAGCCTGCTTTCACTGCCACCTAGGGCTGGGTCAGAGCAGGGGGATGGTCTCCTCTTGGGCCACAGCAGACCTGTGTTACTGGGGTAATGTGCCTAGAGGGCCCAGCAGTGAACTCTTTCACACCCCCTGTGCCTCTTACCCCATCCTGTCTTGTTTCTGTTAACTGAAAATGGGGACCCTGATGGGACCTAACTGGGGACTTCTCTGAGACCAACAATTACAGAGGTCTGTAGCACAGTGAACTGACAGCCCCATGTCTGGGCAGCAGTAGCAGCATGGCCAATACAAAGGCTAGAAATTCTGCAGAGAGCATGCTAGGTAGAGGATGTGCTGAGGGGCTACCCCAAGATGATGAACTAGCTTTCAATATCTTGGATGACCTAGTTCTTAGAGATTTTTAGAGAACATACCAATGCCTGGTGATTCCTCTGTTGTCCTTGGGGTCCTGTTGGGAGGCTCTGGAGTAGTGAGTCTAGAGTGGAGAAATGCTTGTTACCAAGCAGTACAGCCCATGGTTGCAGTGTTGCTAATTCTCTTAACTTCTCCAAGCCTCAGTTTCCTCCTCTGGCAGATGGGTCCAAACCATGTATCCATCCCCAAAGGCAGTCGTGGGTGCCAAACACTGAGCACAGAGCCTCAGCAGTTCATGGTCAGGGAAGTAAATGAATGGTAGTGCTGGCCTGGCAGTGGTGGGCAGAACTAACAAGATCACTTGGAGAGGGACATACAGAAGGTCCCTGAACTTCACCTTCTTCTCTTGCCTCAAAATCTTCATCCTATGACCACCATCTGTAATTAGATTTCCAGAGCTCGTCACAGGTCAGGATGCCCAGGAACCCAGGAGCCCAGGAGGAGCTTTCCTGGGCAAGCAAACACTTGTCTTCAACCTCGTTTCCCCACCTGTACAATGAAAGCTTGATAAAATGGCACAGCTTCTGTGGAATTCAATCTGGCAGTTCCTTGAAAAGTTAAACATAAAATTACCAAATGACGTAGCAATTTCATTTCTACATATTGACCCAAGAGAGAGACAAAAATGTCTACGTGAATATTCACAGCAGCTCTATTCACAATAGTGAAAAAGTGGAAATATCCCAAATGTCCATCAACAGATGATGTATAAACAAAATCGTCAATCCACACAATGGAATATTACTTGGCCATAAAAGAGAATGAAGCACTGACACAGGCTACAACATGGATGGAGCTCTAAAACAATGCTGAGTTAGAGAAGCCAGACACACAAGGTCACACGCATAATTCCTTTGGTAGGAAATATCCAGAATTAGCAAATCCATAGGCACAGAAAGGAGGTTAATGATTGCTAGAGGCTGTGGAGGGGGCAGTGGGGAGTGGCTTAGTGTGCATGGAATTCCCTTTTGGAGTGATTAAAATGTTCTGGGACTAGACTGATAGTAGTGGCTGCACAGCATTGTGGATATACTAAATGCCACTGAATTTTGCATTTTAAATGGATTAATTTTGTAATATGTAAAACGTTTTTTAAAAATGGGGAAGCTGGATAATCATCATCTGTCAGGGCCCATGGGGTGTAGGATTTTATTAAAGTCTACTCATGCCCTGGCCGGTTTGGCTGAGCGGTTGGAGTGTCAGCCTGCCATCCAGAGAGACCTGGGTTCGGTTCCCGCTAAGGGCACATATCTTGGTTGCAGTTTGTCCCTGGCCCTGTTTGGGTTGTGCGGTGGCAGCCACTCGATGTGTACCTTTCACGTCGATGTTTCTCTCTCTCTCTCTCCCCCTCTCTCTCCCCCTCTATCTGAACAAAAAATGGAAAAATGTCCTCGGGTAAGGATAAAAAAGAAATAAAAAAAAAAAAAGTCTACTCATACCACGAGCAATCCACCGGCTTCCCTAAGAGTCTCCCGGTGGAGTGGTGAAATCCTATTTCTTTACCCCACCGCCGCCCTGCCCCCGCCAACACCTTAAACCCCGTGGACCCAACCCGGCGTCCCACGCGCGCTTGGTTTGCATGGCCACGCCCAGCCACCCGGCCATCCACTAGCTCCACCCTCCACGTGTTTTGTACTGGCCACGCCCCCTCCACTCTGCGGCTCTGGACCCAACGCTTGAAGAGACCTCATAAATAATACATCACGTCAGTGGCCGGTGAGGCGGGCCATCAGCGCGTCTGGCTGAGTCAAGCTTATGAGTAATATATATGTATGAGCGGGGCCTGGAGTTGTGCGCGTGTTGGGGCCGAGTCTGGGAGCGGAAATGCGTCCGTGAGGTGGACCATTCAGGCTTCATGAATATGCAGGATGTCGGGGCAGAGCCTATGGGCTTCGCTGAGCCCGCAGGGGACGTGGCCAGCTGCGTCTCATGAATAATGCAGTACGTCGGCTAGCCGTGCGACGTCGACGGCAGGCTTCGCAGGATCCGGAGAGGGCGTGGGTAGTGCGTCATGAATAATGCAGCACGTCAGCGGGTGGCGGGCGGGGCTGAAGTGCCGGCCTTGGAGCCGGGAAGGGGGGCCGGGTAGCAATGGTCGCAAGATGGCGGCGCTGAAGGAGGATTGGAGCTACGGGCTGTCGTGCGGCCGGGTGAGCGACGGCAGCAAGGTGTCCGTGTTTCACGTGAAGCTCACCGACAGTGCCCTGAGGGCCTTCGAGAACTACCGCACCAGCCAGGTGAGCGGCGTGGGCTCGGTGAGGCCGTCGGGGACGTCGGGGCGCAGGCCCGCCTCGCGCGCCCCTCGCCCAGCGTCCGGGCCTCGGGACGCGGGGTCGGGCGTTCGAGGTGCTGCTCGTGGGTACCTTGGCCGGCAGGGTGCGGAGAATCACGTTCCTTTTCGGTCCCGGAAGGCGACACTGGCGAGCGGCCCAGGCCGGCGGAGGGGCCCAAACTCGCGCGCCTGGTCCAGGGGGTGTTTCTGTGGCACCTGGAGGCGTCTGGGGCCTTTCCCTGTCCACCCTGAACTGATCTGTTCACCTTGCCGGGGGAAGGGTGTAGGGGTGTGGTTGAGGCTTATCCGTCAGGGTCTCTGGCAGGATGCGTCAGTGGGGCACTCCTATCGGGGTACCTGTGGGGTCCAGTTCCGTTTGTGTGTGTGTGGGGTGGGCGTCTTTGACTTTTTCCAATGAGGCCCCTGGAGTTGGGCTCACTCTTCGTTCTTGGGAAGGGGAGTTTGGGCAAACATTGATAGCTTGTCTGCAACTCCACCCATTGTCCCCCCGCCACCCCCCAGGTGACCCTGTTTCACCAAACACCTTCAGAGAGTGGAAGTATTTTGTGGGGAAGAAGCTGTGTGGGCTGGGAAATGGTGGTTGGGCACCTGGGAGGGAGCTCTGGCCATGGCACCTGGCCACTGACTCTCAACTTCTCAGGGGCCCATTTGGGCCCATCTGGGGAAGTTCAAGACATTTCGTTCAGCCCCCTGGCTTGGGGCAGGGGGTGGGGAAGAGGCTGCTGTGCATCTTCTTTCAGGCCTGACTTGGGGGCACATCTGGGGCTGTGGTCAGACCTACTTCTTCCCATTTCTGTTTGTGTCATGGCGCCCTCAGTCTGTGTTGGGACAGAAGTTGCAGGTGCCTAGTGATCAGGTTCTGAGGAGAAGTGGTTTGGGAGCACCGTCCTCCTTGCCTGGAAAGTGAGGGCTTCATAGTCAGAGGGGCTGGGGAGGCCCCAGTCCGTGTGTGTGTGTGTTGTGTACACACCAGGGATGAGGGAGCCTTGGGTGCGTGAGGAGAGAGACTAACTAGGAAGGAATGTGGCTTTCTTCCTGCCCTGGACTTGTTCAGCACCATTAGCTAAGCTGGGAATTTCTTCCCCTGTTTCATTCCCACCATTTCCTAGGTGCCCACCCTTCCTGTGCTTCTTCCCACCTTTTTGGGCAATTTCCTTCCTGTCCTGATGTGTCAGTTTCCCCTTAATAGAAGGAGGTCCTCATTTTTTTGGTAAGAGCAAGTTGTCATCTTGTCAGAAGGAAGGTTGAGGCACTTCTGTAGGAGAGGAAGAGGAGGTAGGGGCACAGTGGTTGGCTTGAGCCTCCCTTCCCTGCGGAATTTCATTCCTGAGTATGACTTGTCCTGCAGGAAGGCAAACTTTCCTAGAGGCAGCAGTGGGAGAGCTCATGAGTCATGTAAATAAGGTGAACTTGGTACCTGGTCACTTTGGGTTAGGAGCCCCGCCTTCCCTGCCATGCTGCCCTATCTTGATCCATTGGTCCAGAAGATCTGCCTTTGCATCCACCTCTGCTGTCACACTGCTATTTTTAATTTAGAGTGTTGGTTACATCCCCTAACTAAACTAGGTCTTCCTCATTTGAGCTTGAAGGTAACTGCAGACTCAGGCTGGTTCCACATGGAGCCCAGCTGTGTAGGTTAAAGTCAGTCACTAGGAGGGGCTCCCTCAAAGAACTTTTTCAAGCTATCCTGGCCAACTTGGCTGGCTGGGCTAAAATTTTGGGGACCCAAACTTGTGTTTTTTTTTTTTTTTAAATGAGTGTTGTTTTATTTTTATTTTTTTTATCCTCACCCGAGGACATTTTTCCATTTTTTGTTCAGATAGAGTGGGAGGGAGAGAGAGGAAGAGAGAGAGAGAAACATTGCATGAAAGGGACACATCGAGTGGTTGCCACCCGCACGACTAGGGCCGGGGACAAACTGCAACCGAGGTACGTGCACTTAGCAGGAACAGAACCCGGGTCTCTCTGGACCGCAGGCTGATGCTTTAACAGCTGAGCCAAACCAGCCAGGGCCCAAACTTGTGCTTTTCTCAGAAGTTGTTTGGTATTTAAGTGACTTGGCAATTTTTGTATTGAACCATAGCCATTGGGCAATGTGATAGGCTGGCCAAAAATGAGGACAACTCAAGTGTTCTTGGTGCTTTTGGATGCTGGACATGGGGAAGGCGACTTGAATAACTTGGTTGTGTGACCAGAACAGTGTATTGGTTATTAACAAAACCTCAGATGCACAGCTTTGTCGATAGTGTCTAAAGTTTTCTGTTCTCTCAAGCTGTGGTTAAATG